TTTCTAGCAAGTTTATATCTTGGAGATGTCCCTCTGTTCTTTATTGTTTCTTCCTTGCTACCCACATGTCTGTTCTTCAGAAATACTCATTAGTGATATTTTTCACTAGACATTCATAGTACTCTATTATAATACTGTAAGCCAGTACTTCAATGCTTCATCCGCAAAGTCTAAGAAATCCCTCCAATTGTAGGTTTTATTATAGTGCATAATGATAATGTGATTAACAACTGCGTAGTGAAGATAAAGTCTTCACAGATTACTTTCTACTTGGGTGTCTTACAAGTATGGTTTTTAAAATAGTGTTAGGGCACATGAAAATAAACTACGAATGCCTCAACCATGAGGAGAGTGGTTGTGTTAACCCCTAAATGCATGTGAAGGATGTCTTTTCTCAGCTTTTGAACACAAATGAGATGTTGTTCCGTACTGAGCATCTTCAAAATTTCATCTGTTTGGTTTGGCGAAGTATGTTCTGTTTCAGAAGACAGATTTCATTGCTTATGCGAGTGCATGAGCTATAAACTATTATTTTCAGCTCTTGCTGAGAATAGGTAGGCTTAGTAATTAAAGTGATTTGAAAATAGTTAGATCACAGTTTTCCATTTGACAGGGAGAGAAATGGGCATGTCCAGGCATTGCTTGGTTCCGCGTACACCTCTAACCATGCTTAACCTGACTAATGTTCAAAACCATTTAAGCATCAAGTGATGGGGGAAAAGAGTGGATTTTGGTTTTTTGTGTGTTTAGTTGTGTTTTTTTTTTTTTTCCTTGTTTTTCTTTTTTCCTGAGAAACGTGAGGGACATGATTTCCATTGTAGTATTTTGGTTTAGGGTTGTTGTTGTTTTTTCTTGCCTTCCAGTTAGACTGATGTTTGCAATTTTTATTTGGAGAACTTCGTGGTTTTCCACATGGATACTTCACTGCTGTATTACCTCCATGCCATATCTTTCCAGGAATCTTCATGTGAAGAATTTTTCTGTGTTTCAGAATTTATGTAAGGCACTGGGTTCAGCATTTTTGTGTAACAAAGTGAAATGGACTAGTTGATGCAATAAAATTTCTAAGTTCTCCTTTTTCATATTTTGCTTCTTCAGCTTTCATCTTCTAAGTTTTGGGTAGAAGCAGTGGTATATAGGTGCAGGGAAATGTTGCAAATGTTTTGGCTTGTTTTTATAAATGTTGCCGTTTGAAAGAAAATATTTGTACTTTGTTTCTTAAAGCTAGTTACATTATACAGGAGTTGTATAGCTGTAGTGTAAAACTATGAGTTTTCACTTCTGCTTAAAATTCTGAGGAAGTACAGAGGTTTAAGTCAGAAACTTTAGTATCGTTCCAAGTGGCTGATGACAAAACAATATCCTCATGAAGTTTTAATAAGTAACTGATAATTTGACTTTTTCCCAAAAAAGTCAGAAGTGTTAATTTTTTTAGTGCAACTTGCATGCAAATACATATTCATTAACAAATACAAAAGTGAAATTATTTCCTCTTTGAAATTAGATATACTATAGTTGGGAATAGGTGTGTGAGGGCTTAAGTTTGCTCCAAAGTTGTTAGGTCTCCACCTCTTATTTTATTGATCTGTGATATGTAGGTTTGTATTTCAGGCTCATGCACTTTGAACTTCAAACCTGATCTGCAAACTTGATTTTTCCATTCTTGAGAACAGATAATGCTGGGGACTCGCATTCATATGACAACATGCAGAGGAAATGTATACTTAAGTTTTGACATGAATTAAGTGTGGTGTTTCAGCACAGAAGTGTAGAATAAGACAAAAATAGAGTACATTTTAACAAACACACTGTAAGCTGAAAAGCTTGTCTTCCTCTACTGATATAATTTAAGTAAGCAGGAACCTTAAAACTATAACTTATGTTATCTCTTCCTGTTACATCTAGATTTTGTACATGAGTGTAGATGTTGGATGTTATCTTTCTGGAGACGAGAGTAAGTTCTTTTAAGTAGCAGTATTGGACAAGTGTGTATATCGGATTGTAAATGTTAAAGGAAACTTATTTATTTTAAACCAGAACAATTTCCTTCATGATTAAGCTGCTCTCAGATAATGCTAGAGGGTAATTTAGGAAATTTATTGACTTTCTACTAGTGAACTCACAAGCAGTTGCACTGTTCCTTCTTATTAAAGGCAAGTAAGAACACAAATAATACAAATTAACATGGGTAACTTTCTGTACTGGTATATATTTTTTAATTGTGTGTCTTCTTTAAAACGATGTTAAAAAACCCCACAACACCAAAAAGTTCTCCACAAAAACAATCAAACAAAGCCCACCCAAGAAAAAAAACAAAACCACAACCAAACCCAAATTTTGCTTGGTTTGGCTTTCCACACCTCAAACTAATCATCTCTGCTCAGCTGGTTTTTTTTGTTTTTTTTTTTTTTTCCTTTACTTTCTTAGTCATGATTTCAACGTGTAGCTTCTTGACGTTGCATGGTGTTAGCAGTCTTGGAGGTTGTTGGTCTGAAAAGGCCTGCAGTCTTTTCAAAAGAACTTTCAGACTTGCTTAGTGATCCTGGATGTCACCACCTACATTCAGGAAGAATGCATAAAGACGTGCATTGAACAAAAGTTTAAAGATAAATCAAAAATCTCTTGGTACACTAGGTAGAAAGCTACATCAGAATCTACTTTGACTTTTAAAGGTTAAAGTGAAATAATAAAAAAGTTAGAAAATGCCAAAGTTATTTGCCTGTGCAGCATCGAATTTAATCCCCAAGTACATATGAGGAGGTTTTTTCCCCAACATGTTTATATTTGTATTTTTCCCACAGGGCACTACCTCTGTCAGTCCTTGAGGTAGAATTGGTTTAGTGATAAACTGGAGCTGTGTAGGAAGGACTTCGGATGTTCTATTATCTGGGCTTTGCTTATTGAGGAAGGTTATGTTTGCTGAATAAAGGACATGAAAAGAAAACCAGATGTTGTCAGTGTTAAGTATGCTGCCTTGAAGAATTGCACTTGAATGCTGCTTTTGCTAAGTAGTTGCAAATGGTAATTAAGATGTAATGCTGATGTTTACCATCTTAATGGTAATTCAGATATTTACATTTCAGTTAAGATCAGTCACTGTTCTTTATTTCGTGGTGTTTAACTATGGCCTGATTACCAGAATTGCATTTGCATCTGAAGTCAGTGGAAGCTGTGTTGTGAATATGAATTTTTGTATGCTGATGTGTATATTAGAAAAAATGAGTTTCACAAATAGGCACCCAGAATTAGTGGGCAATTTTGACCTAGTATGTAAGGATTCATACTGTCTTCTTTACTGTGTTTTACTTGCTTTGTACTTCAAGTGTGAGAGCTGTAAGGAAATCCTTGAAGAAATTAGGCAGTGTATTAAAATGAAACTGTGTATTAAACCACAAGAGAAATTTATTGACTTCTTGCCAAAATCCACTTTAAAAGAAGTATAATCTATTTGTGCCTAGAATTGTAAAACAGTTGCGGAGGAATGAGGAGAAAATGAGCAAATCCCACAGTTTCCTAAAAATACAAGAAAGGACTGAATTAAGGATGCCCTTTTGGTGTTTTGGTAATGAAATGCTTGTAACTTGAATATTGATGTTAAAGTATATCTCTTCATGTAACTTCTTTGCTTTTAAAGCAAGCTGCAGATTGAAGCTTCATTTATAGTATTCTTAGTAACCTGTCGTTCATGGATGGACTTAGACTCTTGTTCCCCGCAGTCTTTATTGCCTGAGCTATGGCAGTAATACACAGCAGCAGCAGGTTGCTATAGGTTGCTACTCCCTGTAGAGACCAGCATTAGAATATTTGCTGGCAAGTTTTGAAAGTTTAATGACAACCATGTTATAACTTGAACTGTGCTGAAGTGAAAATGGGCTACTGTGCCTGTGATCTTTCACCATCATCAAAAAAAGCATTGCTCTCTGTGTTGGTTTTTTGTGGTTTTGGTTTTTGTGGGTTTTTTTTTGGTTTGACACAATTGTTGGTTTTCTCACTCTAGTAACTATTAACTTGGCTACCAAGCTGTAAATTCCCTGTCAGTGTTGTGATTCTTCTCTTGCATTGACTTCATGTCAACTTTTTTTTCTCCTCCTTCACTTGCGTGGCAAACCCTGTTTTCTCTGTGGCCTGTTCATTTATACTCTCCAGTGCTTTGCATTCAAATTGACTAGGAACTTCCTTGGCTCAGGAGGAAGAGTCGTGAATTGTAGACCCACCATGGAGCAATCCAAATCTGAAATTGTTCAGACTGTGAAGCTTAAGGCACACAGGTGGATTTTAGGGGAGAATATGTGGATAAACATTTGAATCCCTTGAGTACATACAAACTGTTTTTTACAATGTTGCTTTATAAGGGAACCAAACCTTTTGTTTGGGGAGTTGAAATAGCAAAACCATCAGTCCTTACAAAGTAAAGTTATTCTCTCACTTATTCTCAACCCCCTGCTTCTGCAAATTATGTTGTAACTAGTGTAGAACGAGCAAAATATATCGATGCTTATGAGGAGAAAAAAGTGTCTCTTTTTTTGTCCCCTGGAAGTGTCGTGATGAGGTTAACCTCTGACCTACCTGTTTGGCGGAAGTTATAAAATTTAGAAGATTATGGCAACTTTGCTAGGTTGTCTTTTAGGCTTCTCTTTAATTATTTGTTAAATGAGATAAAGGGTGAGATCAATCTTGTCTCTTCCTGCCCTGTGTAAATGGAAGAGACTTGGGATATCCAACTTCTTTTACAACCTGGCTATTTGAATCTGGGGGTAAAAAAAAAATAAAAAAAATCTATATATTCAAAAACAACCCCCAACCACCCAGATTTTTGATAACTGTGTGTTGTGATCCTGTTTTAAGGCAGGTTATTTGAACAGTCAGGGCATAAGCCAGATTTGTTGTTGCAAGTCAAGTTCATTAACTTGGGGAGGGTCAGAGGGAAGAAAGCAGTCTTAAGTTACTGTGTACATAACTAGGATGGGTTCTGATTTGACCTAAAGTCTGTCTTGATGCAGCAGCACAAGCCAGCGAGGAGACTGTCACATTTCGTCGTGAGCGCAGCACATTTAGGCGTCAGGCAGTACGACGCCGGCACAATGCAGGGAGTAACCCTACCCCTCCTACATTGCTCATCGGATCACCCCTCAGGTAGGGTATCTAAATGTTCCACCATATTTAGCATGCATGCAGCAGACCACTTCCCCACACCCACCAGTGTTGCCAGAGAAGCACTTCTTACTTCCTTCCCCACCATAACTTCCTTGAGCTGTCACTGCATGTCACTGTGGGCTTGTTGAATTGTGCATGTATATGTGGCACTATTTAAAAAACGGTCAGGATAGCCAGTCTCTAACATGTTATAGGTGTTTTCAGATTGATATAAAAGTTAACTAATGCTAACAGACTTAGACCCAGTGTTTTTTATCAAAAATTTTATAAACTTTTACTTTCAGTCAAGGACAAAACCCCAAAACGATAGTATTCACCACTCCCCATTTTGTTTTTCTTTCCTTTAAGAAAGTAACCATTAGGGCCTGGTACTATGATCACTTTTCACATCTGTAGATAGTGAGAGAGAAGCATAATAGCAAAATGACAGAACCTTATAAAGAGTTGAGTCATACAAACAGAGGCTCTAAATCTAAAATACAGGTAAACCCTTTTGAATAATATCCTGCAGCTTTTTACAGCAAAAGAGAAATAATGAAGTGAATAGAACGCACAGTATTGCTTAGTATTAGATCTAGTTATGCGGCAGTTTACATGTCTTGGCAGTGTTTAAAAATATACTGTATACATGTATCCCAGGAGTCCCCAACCTTCACTGGCCCATTTGCTTAATGCTGAGCTGAGTGATTTGTTACATCCAGAAGCTTTGTTTGATCTGTGGGCCTGAACAGCAGAAACAGCAACCACAACAAGTTTTTAAACTTGCTTTTTAAATCTTTCAATCTCTTGGTTGCCTATAGTATTGGATAATCTGGTGAGCAAAAGAAAGAACCCCCCCATACATATCAGAATAATTCTTCCTTCAGTTATATGATAAGTAGGTAGGAATACTTGTATATGTTGTGTGTTCTTAATGATCTTTCTTTGTATGATAAACTATCTTTTAATAATAGAAGCAGTCTGCTTTTGTGTTTTGGGAATATTTGTGTAACTTTTTGAACTAGAAAAAGCTATAGAAACTGAGCAAATAAAAAGAGAATGCTTTACAGGAGAAGGTGGCAGAGAAATTGTGCCATCTTTGTTGAACCATTAAAATAATCAAGGACTGTAAATTTTCCTCAGGCAGGGAGATGGTAGGAACGGTATCTAAAAATCGAACAGGACGATTGACTTCTGCCATATCAAGGACTGAAACCAGTTAGATGTGTTTTCAGTGTCTAGCGCAGTATGTAGCAGTAATCACATAATTGCAGGATTTTTGTTAAGCTTTTGGTCTTGCTGATTGTAGCTTGTTCAACTTTAGGTTGGTGACTTACTTCATAGTGAAGGATGATAAAACTTTGCTTTCTCTCAGATCACTTTTGCTTTACCTAGTTACCTTCACTTGCATTTGATTTTTTTCTCCTTTTTTCTCATAAAAGAGGACAATATAGTTTTGTGTGTTGCCTCATAAGAGGCTGTGCAGACTAATCAAAGCTCCTTAACTGTGTATTAGTTGGAAATCAGTGTTTTCTTTCTCTTAAACAGGTATAAAGCAGGGAAAATAAGGGACTCTGTTTTAGACTTTGTTTGACAGCTGCCTCATTTTCCTATGTTAGTTCAGTCATTAAGGTTCCTATGGCTTAAGCTCAACTTCAGTGAGAGATCATGAGAAAACTGAAGTTGATGGAAGTAACTTTTCAATCAGACAAGATGTTCAAGGGCAGAAAAAAGACTGAATATTCTAGCTTTATATTTCCTCTGCGCATCTTCCAGTTAGCTAAAGTTGTTCCATTCTAAAGAAAAAAACCAAACCAAAACAGAAAACAACTCTGTGTACTTTCTCTGTGTACTTTCTCTAACATAATGACACACACTATCAAAAACACTTGTTTTATAGACATATTCAGAATTAATACTTAGTGAAGTTACTTTGCTCAAAGCATTGTTTGTAATACTTAATGATTGTTCCTTGGAGTAGAGTTAAATTGCCTTAGTCCAACCAAACACGGAAGTGCTTTCAGATTTGTTGACAAAATTCCATTTGAGCTATCAACTGTGGAATGTATCTGAAAAAATATATTACTGGTCTGATTTCTAGAATAAATAGTTTGAAAAAAAACTTTATATGAGTAGCTTAATTTTAGTGTAAATTCTCTGTGTTTCTGGAAGAAGAAAACCCCTACGAAAGATTTTTTTTTTTAAAAAATCTTGCATAAGTGAAGAACTGCGGAGAGATTTTTAGCCAGTTACCACCAAAATGTTTTCAAAATATCGCTACAACTGTACTGGCGTCACTCGTATATGCTGTTGGTGAGCTGCCTCCATCTAGTTCCTGATATTGCTAATCTATATGACTTCAGATATTAAACTTCTAAGAGTATTAGATTTGCAAATCTTTAGTTGCCCTGATGTTACTTCTTTCTTATTCTTGCCAGCAAATCTTTAATCTCCAATCTTCTAACCTTGTCATAAAATTGGATGTTGTAGGGATGTTCCCTAGAACCTGTTGAGCTAAACCTGTTTTTTTTTTTTTTTTTTTTTTTTAAATTTCCAATCCATTATTGCAATTTCTTTTCACTGCCTCTGTGGAATGTTTAGTAGAAGAGACAATGGCATTATATATGTGTGTCTTTGGCAGTGATAGACAAGTAAAACCTGGTCTAGTAAGTTCTACTGGTTTCGTGCTAAATTAGACATAAGAGTACTGGCAACTTAAAAACCAAAATAAACCCAAAGCCCACCATAAAATCACCATCTACCCCCACTTTTGTCCTACCGAAATGTCAACAGTGTTTTGGGCACTTTAAAAGTAAATATGCATTGGCATCCCATGCAGTCAGTGGTGTATGCATGTGTGTAAATGACTGTCTGAAGCAGAATTTTATTCTTATTAATTAGGCAGAGAATAAACACATTTATTGCATATCTGTACAATCAGTTGACATCCATATTTTGGTAGGATTTTTTAATTGTAACAGATGTGGATAACTACTGAAAGAGCAGCTGTGTATATACCTTCTGATACATACCTGCTATTCAAGGGGAAGCAGTACTGTTTAGCATTGTTTTGGTGTTACTGATAATACTTAAGGGAGACAGTGAAGGCTGGCACATCCGAGAGCTTCATTAGGGCTTTTGTTGCTGCATAGCTCGCTGAAAGCCTTGTGTACAGCAGTGAAACACTGAATTTAATTTCAGATTAAAATGTTAGAATATCATAAATAACAAGTTGCAGTTCTTCTCCTTATGAGCTGTCTGCATGTCTCCATTACTTTGCATGAGCTTTTCTTGACACTCCTTCTTGTATCTATATTTTATTTTCCAGTGATGCTCTAATAAAAGAACTGAAAAGTAGATGTTCTAGAAAATATTGTTAAAAACAAGTACATCAGATATAGCCCCTCAACTCTTAGTAAGATCTAATTTTTCTAGTTCCCTCATTTGCCAGCTGTAGTATCACACTCTAAACAGTGAAGTGTTAAAAGCAACAGGTGATACAGATTGTTTTTCAAAAGAGTGTGTTTAAGATATGTTCCACAGTCTTTAAAATCTTTTTCCTGTCTAAAATAATTTCACAGCTAATGACTGCAATATGTAATTTCTTTAAGTTCACAACATGAAGGATAAAGAAAACACTACTGTTGCAAAGATGGGATATCAACTGTGAATGTCCTGTACTCTTTTTGCCATGTCTAGTATTAAATATTTAATATTAAACAAGCAATTAAAAAACCTGACGCTGTTAAATAGCTCGATAAAATAGTTTTGCAATGAGAAGGCTGTGAAGAGGAGAATTAACGTTTTCAAGCATTGTCTGCTTATGATTATAAAGGTACACATTTCTCTGAAGCCCAAGTTAACTTTTAAAACCTGCATTTTGGTGAGTAATAAAGCTTTTCCTGTACCATCAAAATAACTTCAAAATAGACTTAAAACTTCTACTAATTATTAACTTGGTAGTCTTAGTATGTTCAAAAAAATTCTGGATCCAAACATAAAACTTGAATTATCATACAAAATCTTTGGTAGTGCATGGCTGCTAACAGTGCTTAAAGGCGTTTTCTAGTTAGAGTGCAGAAGGTGATGTCACTGTGACTAATAAAAACCCCAAACAGCAAGTTAAACAGCTGATCAAGTCATACCTCAGTAAGCAGAAGGGACCCCAGCTATTGTGAGTAGACTAAATAGTCACTGCTATGTGTAGGTGATACCTCAGGTGAGACCTAATTGTAGATTAACCACCAGTAATTTACTTTTGCGCCCGCAATTTAAGAATTATAAGAATATACTTGTGAGTGACTTGGGGAGATGTTAGAAAGCAATACTACTTCTAAGAAGTTGATAGGAACAGTGTCTCTAGGTTCTAACTAGTGTCCAAATATTCAGGACATATGGGTTACTTTAACCCTAATAATTGGCTGCCTAATGCTATGCTCTTTCAAGGTTTTCCTCTTTAAACTGAAAAATCTTGTTTTGCTTCAGTTCTGGCTATTTTTCATTTCTTCCTGGTAATGTGTCCCCAATGCGTGTTTTCTCGTAGCCTTCAAGATGGTCAGCAAGGCCAGCAGTCCTCCCAGGTCAGAGTGCAGTCCCGCCCCCCTTCCCAGGCAGCTGTGCCCGGCGCTAGCGCCTCCTTGCTGGTGAGAAATGGGAGTGTCCACTTAGAAGCATCACATGCCACTGCATCTGCTGTAGGCGGTAGCAGTTTGCACGATGAACTTGGTATGCAGGCCTTATGTAACCTTGGTGACATGGAAGTTTTAATACGGCAGATTTGTTGGTAATAATGTGGTGGAAATCAGTTAACCTGAGCTTTGTTTCTGAATCTTGTGGGTGTATTTCTAGGAAGGTCGTATTGTTCATCAGTTACTTGCCTTTGTCAGTTGCTTTTCCAGGCACTTTCCCAAAGAAATGCATGATGGGAAATCTCTAAGGATGCGTAGATACAAGTAATGATGGTGTAAGAGCTTTCTTGACTTGAACAATGTACAACGTATAATAAATAACTTTTCTTGCAATGTTGCAGGCAGTTGAGCAGAGATTGAGACTTTGGGGATCTTCTGGTTCCTGAAAAAAGTACTTATTATGGTCCCTAGGAATTCTTGATCTTAGTTTTTTTAGATGACTGTTGCATAGCTGCTGTTCAGAAAAGAAATACCCTTGTAAATAAATGCTTTGCTTTTCATGTACACCTTAATGTAGGAACTTTATATTGAAAGGAAATCTGGACTCTTTCTTATATCAAATGTCATCATTTTACAGAGCTTTATAGTGCCTCTTAGTTCTTCGTGGTCCATTTTATGTGGTATTCTTAACCATTAACTTCTTAATTAACTTCTGTACAGCTGAGAAGATTGCTAGGGAGAAGGAAGTTAGGGCGGTCCTAATAAGTGACTTATCTCTTGCCACATAGTAATGCAGGGGGCAGATGCGGAAAAATTCTTGTCAGGGAGCTCTGCATCTATCTGTACATGGCCTGAATTACTTATGACTTCAGCATTAATATGTAACTCTTCCTCGAATTATTAAAATGGGCATCTTTAGAACTGACAGTTATTAGTGACAGAATTTTGAGGAGCTGTCAGCTGTAATAACCTAAAAGTACAGGTTTGCTCAGAACACTGACAAAACACTTGTTTCAGACCTTACTGCAATCCATTACTAAAAGATAAGTGGATTGCCATCTTACCCCACCAGTGTGGAAACTTTAGGAGTTTTCAGTGTGTGGCAACCCTTTTAAATGTGAGTTTGACTGAGTCTTCATTCTTCTGCATCATTTAGCTTCAATGTAAGGAAAAATTGAATGCAAACAAAACTAAAAACAACCCTGACCTTCTGAGATGTTTTATAAAAATTAACTACAGATGTACTAAATACACACAATCTAGTTACTTCATTTTAGATTCTCTTGCTTTACTAGTACTAGATTAAAAAAATTCAGACTTCTATCAATGCTTGTATGTGTGTCTGAAGTATGAAAGCTTATCACATGAAAGTACAGATTTCTTTATTTGATTAGGACTCTTATTTCTTGTTTCACAACATATTGGAATGTAACTCTGTAATTCAGGGATACTGGTTATATCTGTCCAAGGTTAACATTGAAATATATTTTTGAAGCCACCATTATTTGAAGGATTTAGCTCATCTTACCTGAAATAATAGTCAAGTTTTGTAGAACTTGAGATTGAATACACAATCTAGATAAGTCTAAGTTATTTAAGAGCTTATATTCCTGTGCTATAGCAGAAATCAAAGTGGACCATTTAAGAAATTCAGCATGGTATTCAGGCTCTCTCAAAAGGCATATTCATCGCACTTGGTGTGTATTGAAGGCTTCAGAAATTTATATGGCACAATTCTTCTGAAACTTTGCCTGTACTGTGGTTACACTTACATGGGACATCACAATTGTCTTTGGGATGCACAAGACTTCCAGGATCTGCTAGGTAAAAATCTGATGTATAATAGGGACTTTTTTCTCTGTTTTGAAACTCTGAGCATCTGCTTAGGAACTTTTGAGGGAAAGCAACTATTCTAGGCAGGATCTGTTTTTATTATTTAAGGAAAATCAAATTTTCTAGTTTGTATAGCAGGCTTTGTGGGACAGGTACTATCTTTTGGTAAAAGTAAAATAGTTGGCAGAATGGTGCAAGCTTTCATGTGTGTGATTCCTTTATCAGACCTGACAAGAAAGGAAAGGGTTTTAACTGGTACATGGTTTGTTCTTAATTGTCATTCAGGGATGAGGTAACACCACTTCTGTTTCTGTTACCACTAAGGTTTTGCTGTATTATCCTAAGCTACCTCACAGTGAAAGATGACCCCATTACTTTACTTTACTTTAGGTTGTGTATGGTTTGGGGGTGGGGAAAGGTTGTAGTTTGTTTTTCCCTTGAACATCATCAGGAATAAAAATTAAAACAATTCAGGAGATATGACCAGTTCTTTGTCACTGTGGAAATCAGTGTGACTGCTCAGGGCAGAAAAAATACTGAAAATACACGCTGAGGAAATACATGGAAACAAAACCTGGTTTATAGCAACTGGAAATATGGGTGACAAATGTAGCAGATGGGGTTATATATTTCTGTACAGTGCATACATGAGTTCCTTGTCTTAATTCACGTTCTCTTGGAAAGGCAAGCAGGGCATGTGTTAAGTTACTTTAAAAGCCCTCACATTTAGAGCTCCTGTTTTTCTTTACTAATGGATTATCTGCTTCTTCATTTTTTCCATTTATGTGTTGGTGTCAAGCTGCAGCTCTTAACAAGACTTACACTTTGTTTTTGTTTGCCTTAAAGTTTCTTGTCTGTGAACTTGAATTCTGGTGGCTTATTTTATGAAGGACTAACCTTGCAGTATTATACCCATCCTAGACCTGGTCTGGTGACTGTACAGTTGTCTTTAACTGGGCATTGTCCTGAGAGTAAGGAAAGATGCTTTGAGGCATTATTATCTTCAGTCTTCCAGGTTCAAAGGAGAAAGATTTTTATCAATTATGTTGTTTTTTCTTGAGGGTTGAGAGGTAAGGAACTTGAAAGGATGGAAAAGGAGTTTGATGTGGAGCAGTAAACATGAAGTAAATCATAGAAGGAATGCTGGACAGAAAGGAAAGTTGGCAAACCAAATGCTGTGATTATAGGCAGGATTAATATAATTATAATATAATACGAATCTAGAAGGCAACAAAATGCATGCCGTGACTTAAGTGAATGACAGTTTTCAGAGCACAGTGTGACAGTACTAATGCTTTTTGTTCTCACTAATATCTGATTCTTGAGACATGTAGGTGATGAGTGGGATTTTTCAGTCCTTGCAGTGAAGGCTGGTTAAATTCAAATAAGAATTTGTGAAGTTCGTAGGAATCAAAGTACTGAGTTTAGAACAGATGCCCAGTTTCTGAAACTGGGGTGAAATAACAAAAATAACAGCCCTTTGTCCTTGGCTAGATGATTTTTTTGTTTGTTTTTATACTTTGGGAATATTGCTTTTGTGCTTAAAGAGAACTGGTCACCTGTAGCTTTACAAGACAATTATGCCTTTATGCTGGACTTCTGGTTGTAATATTTATATGAAAGTGATAGTCTTTCATATTTATTGAAGTATTCTTATTTATGAAGGCAGTTGGATGGTCTTGAATATTAAAAGTTTTCTCTAAAGAGAAATGTGTATACAGATTACTTACTTGATTAAAAAACAATTTAGAAGCAGTTCCTCGGTACTCTTTTTATAATGGAATAGATGTCATTTACTTGGGATGGATGTGGAAGCATTTTCAAAGGTACGGGTAGAAAACAATTATTAATTTCCCATTATTCTTATGGAAAATATCCCTGTTGTAGTCTGTGGAATTCAGCATGATAGGTAAGTTATTCTTTTGAGAAACTTCATATAGGAGCTAAAAATTAACTGCTTTGAAGTGTTCTAACCGAAAACACATAAGTCTTCATATCATAGATAAAGGTAAAATTTTGATTTTTGGTAATAAAGCTCCTAGCACTCTAACAAGTATTCAAATGCTGATGGCTTTGGTTTTGCTGACTAGGATTTAAAAAAGACTGACTGAAGAAGTAGATGACTATATCTTGATCTAATGTGGCAGTAAGTGTCTGTAACATTCTGAACTAACCTGAGAGATTTGAAACAAAGTAATATTTATTAGTTGTAAAGCTGGGAAATAAACTGAAAATAACTTAGCTGAGGAAACCATCAGAACACCATTTTGGTTGGATCCTGAGCCACTTAAATCTTTCAGGTTTCATCTGTGTAAGCTCATCAGCCTGTTGCTTTCACTGATGCCCTTAACTGTGGGAACACCAGTTTGCACCGTGTGAACTGTTACATGATTGTCTCTGTATGTGATGATGAGATATTTTTGTCTTTTCGAACATGGAAACTTTTTTTCAAAAGAAGTACATTCATCTTTTCATGCCAGAGCCAAGATGCATTTTTGATTTGTGTGCTTGAGTATCAGTGACTTGGTTTTGTTATTTTGTAACCTGGTCCAAATAGAATAGTTTTGAGTGACTTAGATTTGCAAAGAACTTAGAGCTCTCCCTTTTGTGTGTGTGTGTGTGTAGAAGATACTAACATTTCTGTTGAGTGGGTAGACGTGCTGTTGACAGTATTTCTTGATTTGTAAAACTAACATGGAGTTTCCTATTTCTTTGGAACTTGATAAAACTACAGATTTTAGATAAGGAAAATATTTTCTTAAGCTTATTCAGTGTGATACTATTAAAAGTATTTCAGAGAATGCTGTGGGAGACCAAGGAATGGGAGGAAGAGAAAGCCACTAGGGTAAATAAAAATGCTAGGTATATCCATATGTATTGAATCTTGTGGGTGCTGAAATTCTTCATTAGAGTGTATTGTGAGAAAGCTATTCCTGTCTCATAAAACTTTTTAAAAAGTATTCATGGTAGGACTTTGGAGCTTAGACATATTGTTTCCATCACACTTTATAGTTTGTGTCCTCAGCAGTGATGAACAGACCTGTGAAGTTTTGCCTCACATGAGTTGAGGCTTTTCTGAAAAGCCCCTTTTTAAAAAAACCCCAAACAACAACAAAAATAAGACAGAACAAAACAAACAAAAAAACCCAAAACACAAAAAAAGAAATAACAAAAAAAACCCAACAAAACAAAAACCAAAAGAAAAAACCAGGCAGACAAATTGTTTTAATGAGAAGTTGTACTGGGCTTGCCAAGGGGCTAACTTTCAAAGGGAAGCCTAGGTGGGTGAATTGCAAGTATGTCATAACTTGAGTCTGTTTGTAGTTTGTATATAAACAATTGGAATTAAGTGTTTTATTTGTTTGGCACCTCTCTGTTAATCAGGTTTGTCATATCGCACCCCAGCAATGCAGTACTTACAGCAACAATGTAAATGCAGTAAATTTTGACAGATTCAAAAATGAGTTGCATGAGAGGGAACTGTAGATACTGATGAGCGTAACAGTTCTGTAAACTTGTTATTAAATAAATATGTCTGATGTGTTAGCCCAAGAGAATGGGAAGTTATATGTCCAAGTAGTATATTCTAAGTTCTGTTAGCAAAATTTCATTGACATAAAAATTAAAAAATTTAATGTCCAGGATCTATTCAGTAATGTAAAAACATGAAGAAATTACCTAAACTTCTTTGTTTCATTTAAGGGCTGATTGCTCAGGGGATTTTGCATATTTTTATGCATGTTAGTATCCTGAGTAGAACCTGAAGTGTATTATCCAGTATTTCCATGTTTGCTGTTGAAATTTTTTTTAACTGATGCAGTTAAGAAGAAATAAACCCATGTAGCCAAGAGTTTTTATTAGTTGTGGGAAGATTACTCATATCTTGCACTAGTTTAAATTTTAAGCTTCAATATCAACTGTTCTCTACACTATGCATAAAAAACCAAAAGATAACTACCTAAAGTACTTGATTAAAATCTCAGCTTAAAAACACTAAAAAGCGAACTTTGTACTTATGCCTATAGCAGAAGTAATTGGGTATTGAGAGAGAGCTCTTGGTTACTGAACTCTGACACATGCTGTACGTGACTCGTGAACTACGTAGCAAACTGTCTTATCAGAATGGTTGATCTGAGCATGGCTGTTGTTTTCTCTGAAGTGCTCCCAATGAGGGTAGAAAGCTTAGAAAGCTTTATGAAGATTCAATATACCAGTATTTTTTCTTAGTTTCACTGGTTTTAATAATCTAGTTGGAGGTTTTTAAGCTGCTAAGATTCAGACACTTCTAAATCAAACTTAATTGTCTGTGGTCTGAAGAGAGAAGCAGGAGCAGAATCAGAGTGTGTTAAATAGTAGTCAAACCCTACTGTATCAGAAGCAGGTTATGTTCTCACAGAGAGGGTAAAGACTAGAAGCTCTGATCTTGTTAGATGTTCCTCCAGGGACTGCTTGTTATCCTCTATCAGCAGAAGGAAGAGCTGCAAGACACACAGCTTAGAGGTGTATACAGTTTAGGTGTATACAGCATCTCCAGATGCTCCAGAGTGGGAATTTTTCTTTTGTATAAGCTGATCTTAGAATATTTCATGCTTTGCATCATGGCTTAAGAAGGGTTTCAAGCTAGAAGAGAGGGAAGAGTTGGCACAACATTTCATATGAACTCACAGTATCAAAATCAGCTCTGTATATTCAGAGCTGAAATACACTGAACCTGACCTTCAGGAGAAGTTATTTTATCTCTCTGATCAGACTATTGTGGGAGAAGGGCACTGTAAAAACATCATATTGTGAATAAGGTAATGTATCATCTGAGTTACAGTCTTTGCCTACTTTTAAAAATTACGTCTTTTGGAAGTAAGTCCAAATGGTTTATCTGAGAAGTTAGTTTGCAGTCTTCTCTTCTTACACTGCAGCATTTGCTTCTGGCTTGTAGAATAAATCTCTGCCTCACATTCCTTTTTTTATTTTCTAGAGGTATAACTTATGAAGCATCTCTGACCACTTCTTTCAGTCTTTGCGTTTCTTTTGAAATAGACCTGGGCTTCTTGAAAGAATTCAGATTATCTCTGTTGTATCTAAATGTCATTGTTCTTAAATGCTGATAGCTAATGATTTACAGATTGTTTACTGGGAGTGGGGAAGAACTGAAGAAGCTGGTCATCACAAGTTGTTCATGTGGTTATTCTCTAAAGGGGAAAGAAAGACTTACACTGGGCTTCTGTTGTGTTAATGATGACACCTTGTAAATACAAACTCTGTAATTCAGTAATGCAGTTACAGTATATATGTTAAGAGTAGCTCATGTCTTGTCTGCCCTAGTGATACGTTTATGTGTAATCACATTTTGTATTTTGACACTGCAAATTTAGATGTCTAAATTCGTCTCAGTAGTCAGTTAATGAATAGGAACTGCTGCCAATGGGACAAAGCATTAGGAAATTTTGACCTGCTTTTGACCTTTTCTTTAATAGGTAAGTTCAGTTCTACGCTCTACGAGACAGGGGGCTGCGACATGTCACTTGTGAACTTTGAGCCAGCTGCAAGAAGAGCATCCAACATCTGGTGTGTGTGAAGGCCAGTCAAGAGTGATGGTTCTTGTCTTACTGCAACAAAATATTTGATTTTAATTTTAGAAGGTTATTTAGTGTGGACTGCTAAAAAATCAATACAAAGTATTGTCCATACACTTTTGCAACCTAAGTGATTTTTACTAAGAGGTGCCACTAACTGTATAAATAATCTTCTCCACTTAAATAAATTGCAGAAAACGAAGAGTACTATTAGCTTAAGCAATACATTTCCAAACTGAGAACATGAAAAACACATTTTTGATTGGCTTATAGAAAGTTTTGTTAAAGGATTTAACCCACCTTTTGGGCAAGTAGGTGGCTGTTGACCATAATGGCTATTGAACTTCCAAATGTGAAGCAACTGTAAACTGATAAATTTCTCTGATTTAAACTGATAAAGTTCTCAAGTTCATAGATGGCATGAAACAATACATGGAAGTGTCAACATGCCTGAGGTTGAAATCTGACTTGTAGTTGAAATAGCCAGCTACATACTGGAAAGTTCATCTGCTGTTGGAAAGATGCCCTTTTTCTGTCTGAAGGGATAGGAGGCAGAAGAAAGAAAAACAATCCAAAACATCCTGTGGCTCCCCACCTGCCCCTAATCCACTTCACTGTAGCACTGCTCTGACGCTATTGCATCATGCTGAATACTATAATTCCCACAATGAGTAGGTGGAATAGCTCTTGGAATTGTGGAGTAATGAGTATAAAACCTCCCATCTTCAAATCTCTCTAGTGAGAGTATGCAAGTGCTTTTTGTAAAATTGAACTTTGGCAGAAAGTTCTGTATTCCTTGCACAAAGCTGCCAGTGCCTGCCTCTACTGCTTGCATGTTCCAACTGCAATGGCTTTGCTGATGGCTGCTGTTATGAAGTTGTATGTCCTAATGGAAGAAGCATCAGATAATCAGATCTCAGCTTTAGAAGTACTTGAGTTTCAGTGAAGTAAAATTGATAACAAAGAATGTTTTTATCTTAAGGCAAGGAACTGAAGGAAAGTTGCATAAATTTGATACAACTCTTACAACCATGTGATTTACATGGAAAACAAACAAACATCCAAAAGCTATCCAAAATTGGGGGAAAAAAGCAGTGGTTGGATATGGACTCTCATACAGTAAGAGAAATTTCTCCTCATCTCTAATGAATGGAAACTGCAAAGTAATTTTACTCTTCTTACCAGAGGTTTGAGTTTGTGTAAATTTTTTTGACAAGCAATTGAAGTACTCAGTACACTTCTGTTAAGTATGTACCATTTTGGCAGTTTTGGAACCTTGATAAAACCAATGTAGAATAAACAGAAACTCTGCATGTGAACACATAGATGCCTTTGCACTTCTTTAGAGATGTGTTGCGTGTTTACATATCAGGAGCTACCAGATTATAAAACATCTTTGTTTGTTCAAGTGGAAAAATTACTATTATTGTAGTCCAACGTAGGGACTGGGTTTTGAGAAAATTTTATTAAGGGTAAGATTAGAGTCTCCTGATTTAGTAGAGCTTCAGAAGGTACCACAGTACATGAGACTAAGCAGCTACTTGTATTTATAATAAGTAATGGAAGGAAAAACTTAAGGATATTTAGATAAAATTCACAAGGACTTAAAATTAATTTGGGACACTAGAAAATTAGAGTGACATGTTGAAGTAAAATGTAGTATATAATCTGAAGTATTTTCCCTGTTCTTATAGTGACACGGACTCTCACGTATCGAGTTCTACCTCAGTTCGCTTTTATCCGCATGATCTAGTAAGTTTTTCTTATATATTTTTAAAGCATTTGAAAAATCAGAAGACTTGTCAATTTTATAGCACTGATTAATCATTCTATATGGTAGTTCTTTGTTCCTAAGAAGGGATTTTGTCTGAATTTAAGTGAAGATAAAGTATTTATTGTTGCAGTGTCTTCATACATACATACAAATTAACCTTTATGCATAGGGATTAAGAAAAATTGCATGGAAATTGGATATTCTAAGATACCTTTTAAAGGTTTCCAGAGATATGTGTACAATTTAGACAGGTTTTCCTTCTGTCTATTACTAAGATTATCAAACAGCAGAAAGAATAAATACTGTGTTCTGACCAAGAGAAACTTCAGTAAGTTCCCTGAAAGGAATTTATAAATCCGTCATTAGAATCTGCTGTACAGAATTTAAATTGATATGCAAGGAGTGACTGGGAAAACAAGACAGAAGCTTACCATGTTTCATATTGAAAGTAGTTTGTGATCTTAAAACTTTTATATTGTTGTCAAGTCCAGACATATCTGTACTCTGAAGTCGTATATTGCTGTGTCATGAAAAAAGTGCAAATGGTGCCTGATTCATAAGTTGGCAAAACAAAGGAAAGTATATCAAAGTACCTAATGACCTAATAAAGAAGGAAAATGAAATACAGCTTTAGGAGTTGGCAGAGGAGCAAGAGACCTCCATTTGCCTGACTGTACTTTTGATCAAGAATGTGCTCTTCTAACCTGGTGTCCGCTAGAGAAGCTTCCTTTGCTTTCCACCATCCCCTTTGAATGTAACCTTTAGAAAAGAGGCTGCTTTACCTCTTCTGTGCTTTTGGTTTGCCTGTGTAGTCCCAGTGGAGGGAATGATTCTGTTTAAGGCAAACTCATGACTATAAAAGCTTAGCCCATGTGCCTAAATGGAAATTATACTGAAATGTATTATTAGTGCCATGGTGATATGGTTATTGTGATTCTACCTTTTAAGAAACCAGGTTTTTAGAAGTTGTCAAGAAAAGGACCTATTTTCTGACATAGCTTATCTTAAATAGTATATTTTGTATTTTTGAAATGCCATTAGAAAGGGAGTGTTCCTGCTTGTTGTTTTCATTAGTATTTTTCTAGGAAGGAAAAACTGGCTGAGCAGAGTTAGAGTACACTGATGATTTAAGGAATGATGAAAAAAATTTTATGAAAAGAGAAATTGAATATTAAAGATAATTGTAGGAAAAGATCCCTTCAAACCCTAAAACCTATAGTTTTGACATTTCAGGGTGAGGTGAGTATTGAAATTTCACTCTTTGCCTTAAACAATTGTGAAGTTTTTCATTAAATGACATCTTAACTATGATATTGTTTAAGAATAAAGGGCAGTGTATTAAGATGTTTCTTGGCCTGTTCATGAAACGTAAAGTGGATTGGATGACACATACATACTGTAGTACCTTTTTAACATTGAGTACTCTCCTTAAATGTCCTTAATGGTGGTTAGTATTGCTGTGATTTTTCAGGATTACTCTAGAGTGGCAAACTACAAAATAAGTGAGAGATGTAGTCAGTCATAAGTAGTACCTGACTGCTTAGGGTAGAGCTTTTTTAAGCTCATTTCTGAGTGTATTCTGGATTCAGTGAGTTTGAATTTGACCACTGCTGCTCACATATGATGCTTTGTCATGCAAAAAGAACTATTAAGCATGGATTTGCATGCAGATTAGATGACTATAAGAAATGTGTTGTAATTTATTTAAATTAATAATTGGAATATTCTTGTAGTGTATGTTATTTCTGCTCATGTATCAGTTTACTTGTCTTCAAATTTGAAGTTTTCAGAGTAAATGGGATAATGTACTTGGAAGACCTGTTCGTTTGAAATAAGGCATGTAGTAAAATGGCAAATGATTGTGTTGTATGCAAAAATCATTGCTGCTAGTGCTATTTATGTGCCGTGATAAGGACAGGAAAAGTAAGAAGAAGCCTGTGAACTGACAGTGCTTCACATGTAACTTCTCAAAAGTGAAATTAAAGAATTCCAACAATTTTCTTCAAAACAGTTTTCAGTAGAATACAGTGATACAATAAAAATGAGCTTTTGTTAATACTGACTTTCTTTTAGCTTTCTCTTCCTCAGATCAGGTTGAACAGGCTGCTAACAATGGATACAGATCTGCTGGAGCAGCAAGATATTGACCTGAGCCCTGACCTTCAGGACCACATGCAACCTCAAGAGGAAGCAGCTCAAAAAGTCAAGCAGTACTATCGCTTTTGGATCCTGCCTAAGCTTTGGATTAGCATCAATTTTGATAGATTAACTCTTCTGGCTTTATTTGATAGGTGAGATCCTTGTATATTACTAGACCTCAGAGAGCAAAGATTGAAAAATGGTGACTAAACTGTAATACAGATAAACCTATCCTTATAGAATTGTATATGTTTACTGCACTCTTAAAGATCAAAGAATAATACAAAATATATTTTTTCTGAAAGAGTGAAGGTTACTCTCCTTTTTTCTTAAACAATATAAGAATATAAGAATATAAGAATGAAAAAGGAAACCAACCCTCACTTTGCCTGAGGGTCAAAAAGAGACATTCGTTGCTAATCTTTAAAACTAGAAAATAGTTTTATTCAAAAACTAATTGAAAGGATCTAGAACCTGGCATGCACTTAGTGTTTCAACAAATAGAGAGAAGCATTTTTCCAAAGTCATCTAATACTGTAACTCATTGTCCTTGCTGCATTTATCTAGTGGAATAAAATTAAGGTGACCCTTCAATTACCTGCTTTTGGAATATGTGGAGTATTTCTATTTTGGTAATGAACTTCCTTGAAATAAACAACAGAGTAGTGATTCTGTCCAGAGAGGAATACTGTTAATTCTGTTTCCTAAGCACTACCAATATCATATGGAATTATCTTTATTCCACTTGGCATATCATACCCAAGCGAGAGTATTTTTAGTTTCTTCATTACAAAATCATGAATGACAGATTATATAAAATAAGCTGTCATGCTTGTTTTTTTTACAGGCTTGTAATCATCCTGGATGTACCTTGAATATAGACTTGTCTTACAGACCATGATTCTGGTTAAATATTTGAATTATTTCTGAAATTATCTGCTGAAGTTATCTTCTACTTTTTAAAGTTCAGTTCTGTAAGATACTAATTGCTTTCAGCTGTCACTGAAAGCTTGGTAGCTCCTAGCTTTGCTGAAGGACAGTGTGCTAGTATAGTCTGTGGAAGTTCAAATCTATTCTTAACTACTTTGCTACCCGCGGCATAACTCTTGTAATTTCTGACCCTAACTGTTCCCTTGCAGCTTTTCCTAGACGTAGTTAGCTTCTAATTCTATCTTTTTTTTTTTTCTTTTCCCTCTAATACAGGAATCGTGAGATCCTTGAAAATGTATTAGCTGTCATCCTAGCTATTCTAGTTGCATTTCTGGGCTCTGTACTTCTTATAGAGGGCTTTTTCAAGGATATTTGGGTCTTCCAGTTCTGCCTGGTAATAGCCAGTTGTCAGTACTCGCTGTTGAAGGTATTTTAATTTCTGTCTTTGCTTTCTATAAACAATAGATATAACTTTGGTTGGGTGTTGCAGGTTAGTCAGAACTTTAAGGGAAAAATGGATGTTTATCATTTATAAAGAAATGAGTCAACTTTAGCTTGGTGGAAAGTTTGATAAATGGTAATACAAGGTCACTTCACTAGAATGGTTCTGTGTATGTTTGTTAAACAACCCGTTATTTATTGTTCTCATGTGCTTTTTGTTTTCCCAAAAAGAAACACATGCTCACTGGTTAAAAGCAACCTACAAACAGAATTTGGAATTTCATTGTTTTGAGGTTTTATTTTTTTTTAGTGGATATACCTCAATGCATTCATATGAAGCAATTATATCTAAGCAAATTTTTAATGAGGTTATTGAATTTTTTAGACTATTGTTAATGGTATATTTGTAATCTAAGAATGATTGTTTATATTTATGATTAGACTATAGGGGTGGAAATTAGATTTAGAATTTGAGTTCATAACTGTTGAAAAAACAGTAAAAGTCCTGAAAATGAGGGAATTAGGGATTTTTGTCTTCTAGAACTTTGGCTATAAACATGTACTTTTGTGGCTTATCACATTTTGCTATTCAGAGACCGTAGTGTGGCTTGACAATTGTAAAATTAATTGTAGATATTGTTAAAAGAACTTCAGTCAAGAAAGCGTGTATGTGTATGGAGGTAAACATATCTGTAGATTGGGTAACTTTCCTCTTTCTATTTTGGTTTCAGAGTGTTCAGCCAGATTCTTCTTCCCCTCGACATGTAAGTCATGGGCACGTGCTACTGTACTCACCTTTCAGATGCAGAACTCCTACGGAGAACTGATCATTTTGGTTTGATCTTTTGGCATTTCTTTTATGTGCCTTCTCCTAAGACATGAAAGGCTTATAATTGCTTTAGTGTGTGAGAAGGCAACTGATACCGGGTTTCCCCCCTGCGATACTGTTTGTATTTAGAAAATCATGTCCTTCCTCCCGGTTTCGAGCCTACCTTTTGCTCTGGAGCCATGCCATGATAGGTTTTTGATGAATCTTTATTATTCAAGCAATTATACTGAGAAGTGTTCTTAATGTTGTAATTTGCTCTGCTGGCAAGAACTGACACGGCTTTGATGTTCTGTTCTAGTCTTGTAGGTCATTCAACTGTCCTAGTGTGCACACTGCCTCTTTTTTTTGTGCTAATAAGCTGAGTATGCCATGCTCTAGTAAGCATTAATGTTTGGGCATGGAAATGTTCATGTGCTAGTGTTGCACAATATGTTTATATTCTGTTGCGCGTCTGCTAGATTCCCAAGATAAAATATTCCCTGTGTGTCTTATGATATGTAAAAGCATTATTCCTTTGCAGCAAGGAATTCATACTATTTTACATAAGAAGTTGTGTGTTTTAATAAACACACAAATAGAGATTCCCTCCCCACCCCCCAGCAGGAGCAGTATGAGTAATAAACTTTAATCGCTTTTTCTTTAAAATAGATTTAATCTCTCTTGCTTACAAAACCTAGTCAGAGCTTTTCTAGCATTGAGTCCTGCAAGCAACATAGCATAAAATACAGTGGAGACTAAGAGTAATTATAGCTTAGTCTAACTTAATCTTAGTGTTGTGTCTTTCTTATATCAGAGCCAGAAAAAAGACAGACTAGTATCACTGCAAGGATTTTAAGGATTTTGTGAAGAAAATTTTAGGTTATGCTGAGGTGACAGTACATTAGTTAATGAACAGTGATTAATTTTGGTTCTGAAGCTGTCTGTAGGAGAAGAGTAAAAATCACTTTTTAATAATAAACAAATGTTGGTGGTTTTGTGTTTTGTCTTTTTTTAAACAGGGTCACAATCGTATCATAGCCTATAGTAGGCCTGTATATTTCTGTTTATGTTGTGGTCTTATTTGGCTGTTGGATTATGGCAGCAGAAACATATCTACAACAAGATTCAGGTTGTATGGAATGGCTTTCACCAACCCATTACTGCTGCTGTCAGCCAGGGACTTAGTTATAGGTGAGTGACTTTTTCATGGATTTGAATTATGTGCTTCACAACAGTAGAACTTTATGGGAACATTTCCCCTTTCTATAGATTTGCTCTAGCAAATGGCAGAGATGTCCTCTAATGTGGTGTCACAGATACTTTTCATTATGTAGAATCTTAGCCCTCATCCCTAAACTTTCTTCTGAACTTTAATCTGCATCTGTTACCCCATGCTTGGACCTAGATGCTCAGTAGTTAAAGAAACATTTTGATTTGGACTCTTTCATTTATTCTGGAGTATCTTGTGGCAAGTAAGTAGGAGATCTTGTAAATGAGGTTATTTGTAGTTAGCAATTTGGTAGAACAGTACAGACACAATTAAAAACCAAACCAAAATTTTAGACAGATTAAATCTTATTCAATGTGACTCTTCTTAGAATAGGCCTATCAGAAATACAATTTTGGGCAGTATGAGGTACTTTCATTATGTTCTGAGCAACACAGTGCACTCACAATACTGCTGGCATTTAATACCCACCTCCCCCCAAAAAAACCAATGCAAAAACCAAACAATATAAAAAACCCCAAAGCCCTTTCCCCTGTGTACTTAAAAAATTATGAAAATGATAACAGCTATGTAATCTCAGGCAGAGCCCATAGAAAGGAGAGGGCATAAACATTTGAAGGTCATCTTCTCACGGGAACTTTGTGCATTACTTTGATGGAGAAAAATTATTTTGGTGATCTTTTGTCGATCACTACTTTGGGAGGGGTAAGAAAATCTGTAAGAATTCATCTATATTGAATTCTGTTGCTCTTCAGTTGTGTCCAGCTATCTGTGCATGAAAGACTCCAGCAGCTAAATGTTATGACTGCATGCTGACAGTTTTCTGTCCAAGAAAAATGAAAGCTTTGTGTGAGTTTTTAAAATTTTAATTGATTAATAAGAATTATGGACTTAGGCATTTTGGGTATTAGTTTTTATTACTTAATTTTAAGAATATCTTGAATTTCATGCCTCAATAGTGTTTTCCCCTTAAACTTTCTGATAATAAGTCTGGTTTTAAATTTAAATGTTCAGAGGGAAAATGTATAAGCCACATAGGTATGAAAAGAGTATTGTCCAGACACTTTCAAAGGTGCTTTTGAACAGATTCTTTGGCTCTACTAATGACTGGCATACTTCATTCTGTGTCTGTGATGGAAAAAGAAGTTAAGACATAAGATACTTTTGACTCATTCAAAATGTAAATCTACCCTCATTTCTCTTGATTATGCTCTGTCAATTTTGAAAGTATTTTCTTCCCTTTCCTCCTACCTGGAGTCATTGCCATAATGTATACCCCTATCCCCATAAGATGATACATAAATGTATGTGTAAATGGTGTGTCACGTTAGGAAAGTGAGCTACGTTTTAAAAGTACTTAAGAGTCTTTATCAGTTTTAAAAGATGTAGTGGCATCTTCACCAGGCCGTGTCCATCTTGGGATTTGCTTTTAAAACTTCTAGTTCAAGAGTTCTGAGTGGGTTTTGATCCTTATGTTTTACTCTTCTACTCGGTTATCTTGCAGCAGTTTATGTGGTTTATATTTCTTAGCAGTTCTCCCCATAAAAAATCAGATTGCTAGAACAACTCACTCTTCTTAAAAAACACCAACCAAACAAAACCCCACACCTCACCCTCTCAAACCCCTCCCTCTGCAAAAAAACCCCAAACCAAAATAAAAACCTACACCGTACATCCCCCCACACATGTATACCCTTGCCTTTGGAGAAACTCTTAATGTTGCTGAAGTACTGGTTCGAAAAGCTTTGTGTGTATCTCAGAGCAAGCTGGCTGCTAGCAAACATTCTTTGTTAGCATAAAGTAAAAATCTCAGCTGCCTTTTTTCCCATTCCCAGGCATAGCTACTAGAACAACACAGGTGCAGGGCACGGCAAACTCTGTGTGTAAATAACATAATTGCTGTATCCTTGCCAACAGACAAGTGAGGACTAGCATAAATTCTATATTTTGGGTCCTAAATATTGGACTTGATCAATTGCTTTAAATGTACTGCACACTTATAATAATTATTTTCTGTTTTCACCCACGTGGTCCCCATTAGAGAACAAATATTATGGACTTTAAAAAGCCTCATAAATAGTGACTTTTTGCTGGAGTACTCTTTAAAAATTGTGTATTCCCAGTCTGTCTAGTAACTTTGTTTTCAATGGGCACAAGATAGATAGATTTACAGGCCTTTAGGAAACAACTTTTTAACCTTTAATGATGAAACGTTGTATTTACCTCCTGTGTAGGCTTCCTTGAGTAATGATTTGAGATGAAAGTTTGGTTTGAATTCTGAAAAAATACTTTCTTCAGGTCCTGAGGAGCTGGTCTGTAGTCCTTTATTTCCTAGTTTGTATCAATAAAAAAATGCAGAATTCAGTGTTTCTCCCAAGCCTAGAACCTACATGATTTTAAATTACATTGTTTAACTTTACCACTGAATAGGGAAAAAAATCAGATTCTCAGTTATCTATCTCACCTATCACTGTAGATATTTTTAATTCCTTCGTTGTCCAAACATTCTGCAGATATAAAATTAGAAACTTAAATTTACGATTGTGATGCTTTACAGGATACTTCAAAATCAGTTTCTTCTTTTGATCACTGAAGCTCCAAGTCCATAGGATTATAGAAAGTCCTCCCTAAACTGCCAGACTTGGTCTGCCAAGGTTATTTTCATTATTTGATCCTCATGTCCCTCAGAACGTAGAACTTCTGAAATGCTACTGCATGTGGATTATATCAGAACTTGTGTAGAAGATTGTTATTCCTGCATCTTTTAGTCCTTAAAATGGAAAGTAAATAGTATGTACAGGTTGGGACACACCATTTATACCCTTTTCTGTATCAATATTAACTGGCATTCACTTATCTTTGCATTCTGAAGTCCTATAATTTGCAGAGGTTTTCATGATTCATACAGTTGCCTGTTTTCATTAAAATAAAAGTCATTTAGGATCAGAAATTTCAGAAGTGGTGTGAGAAAATGAATAAAATTGTCAAATGTTATTAGTAGCAGAAAACCCAGAGGTGGAATGCTTGGCCTCTCTTACGTCAGTGTGGCTGGTGTTAGCTTGCTCCTGTAAGGCAATTAAGGTAGATAAACCTCACTTACAATGAGTGAAAATTTACAAATCTAGTCTGTAAACACTGCTGGCTGATCTTTGTTAAATAAAAATGAAAAGCCTGAATGGGCCCATGTCCATTTCTAAAGCAATTAAAACAAAAATACAAGAAGTCTTCAGACTGTTGGTCTATATAATCTGTGTATTCAGTCAGTTTTCAGTCACTGAAGTAGAACTTTACATAACATATATTTTCCTTAGATATTATAGTAGAAATACTTTGGTGATGTTGAGTTAAATGGTGTGTGTTACCCTGGAACTTAAACTGAAGAGTACCTTATCATGATGTATTTTTAATATTCACCACTTTTTCAACTATTTTTTTCTTTTGTAGTGTTTACACTATGTTTCCCTATAGTATTCTTCATTGGTCTCCTGCCTCAGGTGAATACATTTGTGATGTATCTCTGTGAACAGCTGGACATTCATGTCTTTGGTGGCAATGGTGAGTGTTGTGATCTGTCAGTGGCAAAAGCAAGAGGCTTGGAACAGCCAAGATTAATATGCTACTTAAAAAACTTACTGATTACACTATTTGTAATCCTCTCCTCTAAACACAGAATACTTAAGTGTATTTTTAAAAAGTTTCAAGGTCTTCTGATTGATTATTGACAAATAGAATTACTGTCCTAGTAATTATGTCAAAAAGTACATGTTCTTCCTCAGCTGATTTCTGGTGCACTTGTTAACTATTTTATTACCATGGTGATGTTGCTAAATAAATGAGGATGTAAAAAAAAGCCACATAAAATGCTCTTTATAAAAATCATTTGTAGGGGAAAATACAAGTAGTTGCTCAAGGTTGGATTGTTAATTTTTTTTTTTCATCAGAGGGATGTTTCAGCTAAGGGGGCTGATATCTTCTTAAACAAACTCAAGTACTTTGTATTCTGACTTAAGTACATAACACTGTTTTTTTTTTTTCTTTTTCTGTGATATTCAGCTACCACAAGCCTGCTTGCAGCACTTTACAGTTTTATCTGTAGTATTGTGGCAGTAGCATTGTTGTATGGACTGTGCTATGGTGCCCTGAAGGTGAGCAAAATTTTATGCACAGTATATATTAATATTTTGGGGTTTGTTCTCTGCATCCTTCTGTATTAGATAACTTAAGTATGCAGAAACTGAATTAGAAATATAAGTCTGATTTGCTAGGGTTCCATGCTTGCTTAACTGTGCCGTCAATAGAGGAGATGCAATGCAGGAACAATTTTTTTGTTTTTAAAAGGTGTGTGATTTGTGCCTGCAGTAACAGGCTATTTCCTGGTTGAAAACACATGATATTTGCCGTTAAGTTCCATTCCACATTGATTCTTGGGGGAAAAAAAAGGTTGCTTATTTCTAGCAGAGTTTTCATGTATTGGTTTATTAACTCTCCAAATGGCTTATGTTAGTATTTTTGTCTGGTGCTGCGAAAGTGAAATAGTCTTTTCAAATTAATGTTTACTTGAAAAGTAACCAGGAAATAGTCTGTAGTGTCAAAGTGAAGATGTGTGCCTATCTGAAAGGTAGCAGAGGGGACATTCGCCACCTCCACCCCAGTTTTCCTTTCTTGAAATGCCATTCTGTTAGAAAACAGTGTGTAGTGTGGTGTTGGTTCTGTTTGTTCATTTCAGGTGTGACAGTAATCAAATATGTTTATTTTACAATTAATTGTAGCATGTGTACCATCCAACTCAGAGTTGACTTTTTTCCCCTCTGTCACAGAGAGTAGAAAGGTCCTAGAGGAAATACTCCCATGATGCTATCACCTGCAGAACATCATTAGCTTTCTGTGAATTTGTACACTTGTCTCATTAGCCTTTTGTAAACACATCTGTTAAAGATAAACAAGCTTTAGCAAAGAATCACTATCTCATTTTGCAGATCCAATACAGATCATGAAAACAAAAATAAAGTCAGTGTTTAATCTGCATTCAGCAAACTAGGAAAAAATACAGTCTGAGTCAGAATGTTTGTAACTTTCAAAATTGAGAATTGACTAAATGCAGCTCTTAAGAACTGTGGTTTCAAGGAATGCAGGAAATTCTTCGTATGAAAAGTGACGACTGTTTAGTGATTAAGATGCTGTAGGCTTGAGGGACCTACACTGTGTTAGAGTTCCTGATCTATAGTTAGACACAGGTAAATATTGAGCAATGTTTTTGTACAGAAAGTCCTGGTTTATTTTTGTGGAATTGTAGTTAAATTTTCCATACTCTTTACTATGATATACAGAATTCTTGTATGTCAGGTAAGTGGTGTATACTTGTCTGCTTTTTATTAATATTTTATTTCTGTCTCCAGGATTCCTGGGATGGGCAGCATATTCCAGTTCTTTTCTCCATATTTTGTGGTTTGTTAGTGGCAATATCGTATCATCTCAGCAGACAAAGTAGTGATCCTTCTGTACTTTTGTAAGTGATAATTTGTATCCCTTTCCCAAGGAACAAGCAAGCTGCAAGGAAAAACTGCTAATAATATTAGTTATTGGTACTGTTTGAACTTGTAGTCACCCGCATGAATCAAAAATAGTATGTTCTTGGTTGAGTAGTTAGAGACAAATTCTCACATTTTGCACCTAGTTCCTCCTGTAACAACAACCTTTCTTTGTGGCTTCTAGTAAGTCACTTACATTCCAAAATCTGATTTAACTGCCTGCTGATGTTCTCCAAAATGTCAGTCAGATGCCATCTGTCTGCTGGTGGGTTTGTACTGAACAACATGTATCTTTCCTGTATTTAAAGACATGCTCAAGGCACTGGTTGAAGCTGAAGTCCACAGGAGGATTTTCTGAACAGTTTCTCTCAATAATTTGTTTATGCATTCTTATATTGAATGTGTGCTCATAGTACTTGTTCAAATAATTTCATCTCAAATGCAAAACAATAAGGATCTGTTTTGGTGATTAGCATTCCCATCTAGCATCAAGAAGCAGGTATTCATGTTGCTGTTCCTGAGTTGGAGTATTGATCTGATACTGCGAGTATTTCTGATTCAGTTAATAATTACGCACCTAAATCAAAATCGTTCCAGTAGGAGAAACACCTCCCCCAGAATAGCCAATAGAAGCTCAGCCACATACCTGGCTGGGTTAGGCAGAACTTCAACTTGGACTTAATTGTAGTCATAATGTTGGAAGAATTTGATAAAGAGTAGCCTGGGTTAGATAGTGAGAGAACTCTCCTGTGAACAAGGAGATTAATGATTCGTTCATGCAAGAGGAAAATGCTTATCTTTGGGTTGACCAGTAAACCTTGCCCTCTTGTTCCTTTTAGTTCAGTTGGCTTTACTCAGTTGGTTTGTGGTCCTTGTCCCTAGATACTTGTTCTTTTGTTCTTTCCAAGTACTAAATTCTGGATGCTTGTGTTTGACCTGTGGTTTCACCTGTTTAGCCAGATGTGGCACAGTTAAGCACTGTAACAGGTTGCAGTATGTAATTTCCTTTGAAGATCTAGGGCTTGTTCTGTAGTGATCTTCCTGTCCATAAAATGAATTAATACTTCTGTACTACATACTGTATCGTAAGAAAAATCACATTGAGGGGTTGAGGGACAATTAGTAGTGGCTAGTAGTGCTGCACGTGGTCTCCTAAAAGCTTATCTATGAGGTTTTTGCATTTTAGTGTCATCAAGACCTGCTGAGAATTTAGTAATTTGGTCAGAATGGCTAACTGAATGATTAATCAGGGTAATGTAGATTTTTTTGTTGCTGTTGGAGTTTGAATTAAACCAAAGAATTCGTGGTTTTCTGACTGGCATTGACAAATAGACCAGGTCTAAATTTTGCACACTTCTGTTTGGTTATTTATGAATTCAAATTTTGTTTCATGACTGCTAAGAACTTCACTTAAAATTCAGTTTTGGTACAGTTAGTGCTGTTGCTTCTACTGAAACTGGTGTTCGAACATCTGGCTGCTGTTCTGTAACAACAGTCATTCTGTGCAAGAGAGAACTAATTCTTTTATAAAGTTGAGGTGTCTGTAAATTTACTCAGCTATGTGAAAGCATTAATATGCTAGAATTAATTTTTGTTGTGATCAGCTTGTAATAGAACTTCTGACTCCATTATTCTTCTAAAACCACATAGAACAATGCATGCTTTTCAGTGGTTTTTTTTGTTGTTTTTCTTTAAGCTCTTTAGTGCAATCAAAATTTTTTCCTAATTCTGAAGACAAAAACCCTGAGGATCCTCTGTCTGAAGTAAAAGATCCTTTACCTGAGAAGCTTAGAAATTCTGTGGTAAGTAGGCTTTTTAGTTTGGTTTGTTTTTTGTTGGTTGTTTTTTGGTTTTGTTTTTGTTGTTGTTGTTGTGGTGGTGGTGTTGCTGTTGTTCTTTAATTTATTTAAAGCATTTGCTTTATGATGGTTTGTATAGCATCAGTCTGGGTCTTGCTTAGCTCACACTTGTCACCATGGTGCTGATTAGATGGATATCAGAGCATTTCCTTGAAGTCTGCAGGTGAACTTATGTGCTATAAGAAGAGTATAATGCTTGTATTGCAATTTTAAGTTATTTCGAAGTAGACATGAGAGAATTGGAATTCCCTAGTATGAATTCAGTGAAGTATCATTGAGGATTTTCTTCTAGCTCATTGATAGTAATAAATGATACTTGGTTTTGTGCAGAAGTTAGTGGGAAAGAGTTAATTGTGGCAAGAACTACATTAACCCAGTATTTCTAATAATGTGAGGAAGAGCTTTGTGCTTGCTGTTCCAGAAGTGGAAAATAAAAATGATGGAAAGTGTTGTGGGGTTTTTTTGTGGCTTGCTTTGGATGTTTTGAGTTGTTTTTTATTTGATTCCTTTGGGAGCAGACGTAACCTGTTCCATTTACTTAGGCTCATACTTTGAAATTTTAGTACCAATTCACTATAAGTATTTGTAGAAGTAATATTTAAACATGATTCTTTTTCACACAGTGTAGCAATAAATAAAAGACTTAAGAATTTTAATATGTTTAATTTGTACAAAAGAGGGTTGAACATTCACTTATCTTTGTGTAGGGCTTGGCTGTAGGTGAGGGACAGTATAACTGGGTTCCTCATAATACAGCAGGCACAAATGTGATGAGGTGCAGTGTGTGGGAACTGCAAATAAATACTTAGAGCAGAGAAGCTGCAGTTCTTTAACACTGAACAGTAGAGAGTGACAGGAGCTGCAAACTCCTCTTTAGCTCTCAAACTGGTATTAATCTCCAAGGGTCCAGGGGAGCTGAGGATTTTGATTATAGTCTTTTTTCAGTGGTTTTTAGAATCAAGACTAATTGATTTAAAAAAATAAAAAAAAAGAAGTTGTAGCGCAAGAAGTTAAAACTTTGCAGCAGTAGTTGTTGTGTGTAATTATTTGTCTTAATTTTAGAGTAGTTAATCCTTCAACGATTTTCTGGGCTGTAAATATCCGATTGCCATGGCCCTAAGTACATGTTGCCCCCTTGTGGCCGACTCTGGCATTACTAGTTTTGTTATTTTTTTACTCTTTATCAACGACTTGTTTTCAGTTTTTAAGAGGTAATGGAAAATTCAAACTCATTCCTCAAGGTGATTCCAAAGCTATCCTTTACCCCTCTGAAAGGTAGGGGATAAAGGGTTAAAACCTCATTGTTTTCCCTGATTAATACCTCTGCCTAGGCAGTACTCTTCCAGAGCTCTTAATTACCCCATGGTTGAGATCATAAAGGGGAGTTTTGATTATCCCTTCCAGCTCTTTCATCAGTGCTTTACTGGGGGCAATTGTTACACCCACTCACAGTCCAGGAGAGAGAGAATATATTGGGTGTATTGATTTGTCCTTCCCTGCTATTGATATGCATCTAACTTAGTTAAACTCATGCTCTTAGCTGTAAGATTTGTCCTGTGAAATTTTGGATAACTTCTCCAACCTTAATGATTCTAAGAGGACAACTAAAGCTGGTATTTTCTAAAGTTATTTTATTTTGACTCTGCAGAGTGAACGATTGCAGTCTGACCTGATTGTGTGTATAGTCATTGGTGTACTCTATTTTGCAATTCACGTCAGTACAGTATTTACAGTTTTACAGGTAAGGTGTTACTTCATTTCTTCCATTTGCCTTCTGTATGCAAATACATTGTGATATAAAGCTTATTTTGGTAGTTCACTGAGTCTCCTGACTAGTTTTAGATGGTGTTTAAATATATAGTGTGATAAGTGCATGACTGTAGCTCTTCACTGTTATGTGCTCAGAAAATCATCTTCCCCTGTTCTTTCCTAGTTTCTGCTTATATTCTGGACTTGTGTTTTAGCCTCTGACACAAAACACCCTCTTTTGTTTCATCTGTCTCAGTTAAATAGTCAGGATCATTTTGGAATAAGGAAAAATGGAACTTAAAAAAAAAAGTTTAAAAGGTGTGATTCCTGAAGTTTGAGGGTGTGAACCTTGACACAGCAGTTATATGCTAGCATGGCTGTTTCTGGAATATAGTACAGGGGAGTACCTCTTTGCTGGAATGGTTATTTACAGGACTAACTAATGTCATATGTGACTCCTACTTCATAATGACATGACACTAGATCCTGTGCTTGAATTTAAATTAAGCATTTACCTAGAGAGTTTTGGTATTCCTATAATGGAGCCATTGATTAGGTTATGAACTGCTTTATGTCAGGCAAATGAAAATTTCTTTTATGTATTTTAGAAGAGTTTTGTACTCCTGCTGCTGCCTAAAGTAAAAAACTAATTTAAAAAAGCATATGTGTTTAGGTAGCTGCATGTTTTCAGGTCAAGTGCCCTATTTAACCAGGTGTACTAGTGTTTTCTAAGGAACATCTCTTCTCTTGTATGGTTGGATTTCAGCACTCCTCCAGAATGTTGCATTACCCCATGTTTGAGAAAATTGGCTGTATGTTATTCACCAGTTGTATAGTTCAATAGACTTAGGCTTCACAGGATTCACAAAGAGCTTATGGCAAGACAATGCAATCCCAATTTTTCTATGACTTATCTAGAAATTTTGAGAAAGTTTTAATATATGGAAAGCATTACTGTGAAATCCAACCTTCATACTATGTTAATATTGCAGTATTTTGTGACTTCTGTGGAAGAGTTTGGTCTTGTGGGAGGCTTCTTACTTTCTCAAGAGAATATAAAATTAATGATTTGTTTTTGCTTATGTTTATACGTCCTTTTATCCAGCAGATGGAAATGTAAATTGGGTTCAGCCTTTAGAGAATAATACCTTTTCAAAATGAAATGCATATGGGTCAGAAGCAATGGACTATGAAGGAAGATTGGTTTACTATTTTTACTTTAAAGTACATTTCAACTCAGTGAAAATTTGCTAGACACAGAGTTTTTTTCTTGCAGGTTTTCTTGTTTTATCTTAAAGTTGGTGGTATAATCTTTCATGAAGAAATAAATTCCCATCTTAGTATTACAGGAGCATTTGCCTAGATGCTGGAAAAAGTATTACATTGTTAGTGCATTATTTTGTTTATAAAAAACATTAATTTTTTTCAATTTTTTTTTTTTAGCCTATTTTAAGTTATGTTCTTTATGCATTGGTGGGTACAGTAGGCTTTGTGACCCATTATGTTCTGCCTCAACTTCGAAAGCAACTTCCTTGGCACTGCTTTTCTCACCCACTGCTGAAAACCAAGGAATACCATCAGTTTGAAGTCCGAAGTAAGTATCATTCATAACACTTTCTCAAACTTGCTATAGTTGCTGACCTTTTAATAAATTTAATCTCTTCTCTTTATTATTCTTACCACCAGAGTTTTTAATTATATCGAGTCCATAAGTGTCTTAATTTCTCAGTTCCTCATGGTTTCATTCCATGATGTTTTGTCTATCTCTTAGCTGATGATGGTAATACATGTGCTAACATTATCCCAGGGCAGTTCCACTAAAGCACAGTCTTCAGAATCTTAAGTGGCCAAGTTTGTGTTTATCATTGCTTCAAGAATTTTTCATAAAGAATGACTGTATTTCATTAGGTATTTCCCCAAAATGGTAAGTTTGCAAATGTTTTAGAGGATTAGGTGTGGTGAATGCCGGTAGAGATTTCATCTTATGGAGATTTGATTTTTAAAAGTATTTTTGACATGTTTAACAAGAGAAAACAAGTGCAGGTGACCACTAATGGATAAAGATACCAAGGGACCAGTCTTCGGAGTTGATCTTCATAGACATGTGCTTGCAGGTTGTATTCAAGCCTATGTTTTCATGAAATCTTTCCCCACAGGCTGCAGAAAAGATCAAGTTAATTGTGCTGTTGCAATAGATTGTGGGGACTTTACTGTTGGAATGTTTTTATTGTTAGCAGAAGACTTAAGAAATTTCTGTCAAAAAGGGCTTGGCAACAACTGAAACTATTTTGATTTTTCTCTTCAGTTGGTTGTCAAGACAAGATGATAATGAAAAGAAAGCATTCTACTGCTTTCAGGAGAAGAGGATTGTCAGAATTGATTCACAGACTTACAACCTTTGTAGCATCAGTGCAATGTGGCCTTTTGGTTGATGTCTAAATTGTGGGGTTTTTTCCTGTGACTGTATGTAAAGATAAATATGAATAGCAATTGTAGTATGATTTTGAACTTTATTTGGAAGAAGTGAAAAGTGATATATGCCTTAAATTTTTAATCTGTAAAACTAGAGAAGTTATAGTTGATGCCCTTTGGATGATACATGGTTTTAAAATTTCTATATGTAAAAGTGTTTTCAGGAAAAATGGAAGTGATAGCCACTAATGTTAAATATGAGTTTATAACATCTTCCAGTTTGGTCCTGTAACTTAGGAAATTCATGCCATGTCACTGACTAATAGTTCTTATGGCTTCTGTTGTAGAAAAGGAGCTTCAGTTCTTGCTGGGGTTCTTGTAGGACACGTTCACAGCACTGACAAAGCAGTGGACCTTTTTCTAGCCTCTTTGCAAGTATACCTTAGCCCTTTATTTATGCATCAGTGTATGCATCAATGTTTAACACAACTTTTGACATAGGTTCTTCTAGACTGTATTGTAGAATACATTTTCTTATTTTAATTTGCATTAAGTTGAAACGTACTTTACAATTCTTGTAGAAGTTTAAAGGTTCTCAAGTCACAGATATTTGTGTTGGCAGATATGTAGGCTCTTCTGTATTGTAGAGTTGTAAACCAAAAGTTTTTCAGATTGAATATGGTTGGAAAACCATCCTTTTACATGAGATAAAATAAATAATGTCAAACAGCTTCATCAGTAACAATGCTGAAATTATTGAAGAGGTGGCAACCCAGTTTGTTTCCTTTCATATGCAGTAAGCAAGTTGCCTGTGAACTGTTCTATTGCTGTATGAACAGTGCAAAAACTCTCCTCTTTGTTTTGGTTAACTAAAACTGTGAAAATCTGGCGTGAGAATACAGTTAATGTTTGGCTCCACAAATTATTTGGATCAAGAATCGTCATTCTGTTAGAGTTTGATTTGACAGTGCTATCTGATTTTTCTGTTTAATGTGTCTTGATAGATGCTGCACATGTTATGTGGTTTGAGAAACTTCACATTTGGCTCCTTTTTGTAGAGAAGAATGTTATCTATCCACTGATAGTCCTCAATGAGCTTAGTAGCAGCGCTAAGAATATTGCTAGTCCAAAGAAACTGGATACTGAGTAAGTAGAAAAGGAGATCAAGTAATCTTGAGTATGTCTGCTGTGGTGGAAAATTAAATAGTGAGTTTTGGCCTCAACAGGAAGACAGTTAATGCTATTGTCTTAAGACTAAGGCAAGGAATAAATAAAGCTTTTCTTTATGTAAAAACCCTTTTAAAGCCTAGTCACCTTGCTGACTTAGACTGAATGGAATATTACAGTGTTAAACTGAAAATGCCCACAGAGATAAATTGTTCAATTCATAGCACATACTGTAAAGATTGCAGGTTGTAGAGTTACCTTATAGTGTGATAACAGTTTCCATGTTTATCTTCAGAGTCTTTAATATTATTATGCAGACTCAAGTTCAAGATAGTCGTGATTTTTGCTAGTATTTTATCAGGTGTAAATTTCAGACTTGTTCTCCAAGTTGGTGTGCCAGCTTGCAGTCCCCCTACAGCTTTTGTCTCTCATCAAGGAATTCCTCAGGCCTTCTAGCCCCTAAGTGTAATCCACATCCAGATGGAATTGCACACTACTTCTTAAATTGAGCCTTTGTTATAATCCCTTGAGCATTGTATCTGACTGTTTCAGCAAATGAGAGTTCAATAATAGGCTCTGCAATTTTTAGCCTTCAAGAAACAGTAACGAGTTGGCTTTTTTGGATTTGAAGTTCTATTGAGTTAGAACAAAAGAGAAAATGAATCTTGAAACAAAATGGAATATGTACTGGGGGGCTGGGTACTAGATTTTTTGGGGGTGGGTGGAGAGGATGGCTTTTTTAATTTTAATCCCTGTATCTAATAAGTTCTTACCTTGGGTTCCTTATCACTGTCACTACAAGACCTTTGGGAGGAATATTGCCATTACATTACTTTAACGTTTTTTTTATAACCCTTTGATCTGTCAGTTACTATCTTGAAAAGGAATTAAATTGCAGTTCCCCCAGTAAACACTAGAGCAGTAGTTTTTACTACTAGTAGTAAAACTGCTAGTAGTAGGGTCATGCAGGAAATGATAACCCAGTGTTGATTAACATTGTCTTGATGATTAATATAGTATTTTTGCATTACAGTATTCATAACCTAAATTAAGGACCAAGTTTCAGAATACAAAGATATTTCATTTCCAAAATTTTTTAAATAGTGGTACTCTTAAAAATGATGCTAATCCTTGAATATTGATGGGCTTGAGAATACTGATAAAAAGACTTAGTAAACTCTTTCAAAAAAGTCCAAATTCAAAGCTGTCTTTTAAGAAACCGACAAACCAACCACCCCCAAGTTCCAAACTCAAACTCAAATCTAAACCTCGAGTTTGAAGAGATTTCAAAACTGGTATTTCATGACAGCAACAACTTATATGGTCTTTAAACCCCTTTTGGACAGCAGATTGTAACTGTTTTGTGTGAATCTCTTACACAGGTTGGGTGCTTTAATGATCACAATAGCTGGCTTGAAGTTACTGCGTTCATCATTCAGTAGCCCAACGTGCCAGTATGTCACTGTTATTTTCACAGTGCTCTTCTTTACTTTTGATTACAAAAGTTTTACTGAGACCATGCTGCTAGATCTGTTCTTCATGTCCATACTCTTCAGCAAGGTAACTTTGACTCTATTCCTAGATGTTTGTTATCCAAAATGGATAGTCCTAACTGATAGGTAATCTTGCAGATCCTCAGTCTTACTTGTACTGTAATTGATATGCTGTAAGGCAGCTAAGACTTCTCCTTCCCAAAGCATTTTTGTTTGCTTGAGAAACCATATGTAACTTTCTAAACATCTCCTGAGTTTCTGTTAGGAGAAAAATGAAGCATATTATGTTACTTGCTTTTGTAATTACATCCCTTTTCTAAGACTGAAGGCTTCTAATAGAACCAGTAAGAACTCTAGGATGACCAGTAAATTCCTTAGGATATTTGTGTACTGCAAAGCATATTGGTTTTTGGCTAAATCACTGTTTTTCTCTTTTTTCTTTCTTTTCTTTTTTTTTTTCCTGTAGCTTTGGGAACTCTTTTATAAATTGAGATTTGTATATACCTACATTGCTCCATGGCAGATCACCTGGGGATCTGCCTTCCATGCTTTTGCTCAGCCCTTTGCTGTGCCACGTATCCTTTGAAAACGGAGGCTTTCTCCTGAAGTCGTGTATTTATAACTTCTGAATAATGTGTTATAATGGACTATGTATTATTGGGTAAACGTACTGAAGGAACAGGTTTGTCTAGTGAGTATTTATGAAAAAACTGTGCACACTTTCTGCCTTGTTACAATGCTATGAATTATACAGTGGCAGATAAAGTAGGAATGGAATGCTGGCATGAAAGAAACACGGAGCAGAATTCATTCTGAAAATGACACAGCTTTTCTTCTGACAGTCATTCCCTTTTATGAGAGTAACTAACTATGGTTTTATTCTTGAGTTTTGCATTTTAAACTTCTGTAGACCTGTTGGAATGGACTGTTGCATTAGTATTCTTGATAGCATTTTTGAATGACTACCGTGTCTAGTGACATTTTCATCTATTTCAGTTTTTAAAAACAAAAATAATCCTGTAATTGGTGGAGATCTGCAAAGGCACTTTGCTGCATAGAAATTCGTAGAGATCTTGTTTTGTTCTTAATTGGTGGTGTTATCTGTATCAGGTAATACCTCAGGAGCTTAAAAAAAAACATAGTTGTTGCTTCGCTTTCCTTAATTCTCTTATCCTACAGATTCTGCCATGTTGTTTGTCCAAGCAGCTGTGTCAGCTTTCTTCTCTACTCCACTGAATCCTTTTCTGGGAAGTGCAATATTCATCACTTCATATGCCAGGCCTGTCAAATTCTGGGAAAGAGATTACAAGTACGTGAAATCAGATCTTTAAAGTTTGTGACATTTGTTTCTAATAATGTAAATACGTCTAAATGTGTTGGTTTCGTGGTTTTGTTGTTTGTTTTTTTTCCTAGCCAATTTCTGCTACGTTTTCCCTCAAAGTACACTAGTGTATAGTACTGAAAGTTTTTAGTTAACTGATTTCTGAAATACTGTAGCAACTGTTTTTTACACTAGGAACATTTGCTTTAGCTGCTGAAAGTCATTTCTACTTAGAGATATGCCATCCTGATGATTTTTAAATAAAAATGATGTTACTGTGAAATGCAGTTGTAATCAGAAAGTGGATTTATGGATAAAAAGGTTTGGAGGAGCAGGTCATAAGTGTATTTTACCTGTGTTCATTATTGCTTAGCTCACTAGTAAAACTGGCTAAACTCATATTAAGATTCTTTTAAAGTAAATATTTTTTGATCAAGGTGGGATCAGTAGTAAAAGAATCTTCATTTCAGATTATACCTCTTTTTGTTTTATTTCTCTGAAGTTCACTATTGTTGATAGAGTAGCAGCGTAGCACAGGATGAGGGGATATTTCCGGTATTTATTATTTCCCTTCTAACAGTTTTAAATACGATGTTCCAAATCTTAGATTCAAGAGTTATGGTTGTAACTTCAGACAATGAAACAACTGTCTGAAAATTACTCTTTCAATAAAGTCTACTGGAATGCTAACTGTGTTAATTTAATTGTTTAAAAGTTTATTTCTCACCTCTAAAGCTTTATATCTGTCTAAGAAAATATATACACTTAAATCCAAAGTTAAAGATTATTCTATGGCTATCTGCTATGGGCAAAATGCTATCACAGGCAGAAAATAGTTTTACATGTGAGAAGAGCAAAAAATTTGCATATAAGATTATTTAAAAATAACTTTTTGAAACTATTTCAATGGGAATATTCTTTAACAGTTTTATATTAGTAGTTTCTTCCCTTAGATTTTCTTACAGTAATATATTTTGTATTAATTATGCTTTATTTTATTCTTTTCAGCACAAAGCGTGTGGATCATTCAAATACTAGACTGGCTTCGCAGCTTGATCGGAATCCAGGTAGCTTTCCTAGTCTGGTTTTGGTGGTTCATTCGGAGTTTTTGGGGGCTTGGTTTTTTAAGGGGTGGGGGGGGTTTGGGAAGTGGGTGTGAGTTGGTGGGTTTCTCTTTTTCTTGAGGGGTAGGTTTTCTTACAGTGGCATTTTCTTCAAATGTAAATGGCTTTTATGGGATCTTTATAGGATTCATGTTCAGTTTTCCCTCTGATCTTCTACAACCCTGCCCAAACTTTCTGTTGCTCTGTCTTCTGTTACTTTCTCTTCCATTATCTCTCTTGCTTTATTCTTTATACTTTCCCATGAGTTTTTTAACTTCACCTTTACCTTTGTGTTCCCACTTTACTTTTTTATTTGTAATTCTAGTACGTATTAAGCTGTTTTACTTTGTATTCTTGAGTAACTAAAAAGATGTCAAGTATTATTTTAGGATGTCTCAGTGTCATGGTGATGAGACCAGTACAAACAGTCATTACTGAGATACTTCTGTGCTCGTTTGCTTTTGCACTTTATTGTCTTGAATGGGTTTATGGGAGATGGATGAGTGGAACTGAGGTATTACCTTGGAAAATGGAGGAGTAACTAAGAAAAATTTGGTTCAAAGTATCACTTAGGATTCATTTGGAGTACTTGTGCCTTAAAAAAAGGGGGAAGTGGGAGTGAAGTATGACCTTGAAACAGCATTGCTGTTCAAAAAATGTAGGGTTCAGTGTGAAGTGATAATTGACATTCAAGCTCGATGTTTTTCTACAGATTCAGATAACCTAAATTCAATCTTCCTGCAGGTTCAGATGATAACAACCTGAATTCTATCTTCTATGAACATTTAACCCGTTCCCTTCAGCACAGCTTATGTGGAGACTTGTTGTTGGGTCGCTGGGGAAACTATAGTACTGGGGACTGCTTCATCCTAGCCTCTGACTACCTCAATGCACTAGTACACCTTATAGAGATAGGAAACGGCTTGGTCACCTTCCAGCTGAGGGGGCTTGAATTCAGAGGTGAGTGTCTTACATTTCCTGAACTGTCTGTACTAAAAGGTTGACTTCTGCTTTGGAAACAAAAGTAATTTTCAGTTCCATCCTGTAAATTAATTGCTTTGAAAATGGGCTGCAGGGCCTCTTGATGCTCCTGTCACTTGATGCGAAGTCTGTCTTTCCATTTTAGTGCAATATGCCTGCCGTAGTTACTTCTTAGAGAAACTCAAGTCAAATGGGATCCTAGAGTGATAAATTAAGCTATCCAAATCTTTTGTGTTCATTGGCAGATGGTTCACTTTGTGTTAAAAAATGTAATTGGAAATTTTTGAACTCTTAAACACAAGTTCACATTAAAGCAATCACACAAAGCTTTCAACACTTTGTTCTTTTCTCTTATTTTCTCTAAGGAACTTACTGTCAGCAACGAGAAGTAGAGGCCATCACTGAAGGTGTAGAGGAAGATGAAGGTTTTTGTTGCTGTGAACCAGGCCACCTTCCTCACATGCTTTCCTTTAATGCTGCCTTTGGGCAGCGTTGGCTGGCTTGGGAAGTGCTTGTGACAAAGTATGTTCTGGAGGGTTACAGCATCACTGACAACAGTGCAGCTTCCATGCTTCAAGTCTTTGATCTCCGGAAAATTCTCACTACTTACTATGTGAAGGTATGATTCAGATCACCACAACCCTCAGGGGAAGATAGGCTGGATTACACTGGGAAACTACTTAATGTCTTGAACTTCTAATGTCTGTAATATGAGGATCATAGAATGTGATGATAATTAGAGATGTATGAACACCTTCTTTAAAGGAGGACAGAGTTTGTTGTACTGATGGTGACTCAGACGGTGCATGAGTAGGGTAATGACCTTGTAGTCTAGATCAGAGAGAGAATACTTCCTAGCTGAAGCTGGAATAGAAACTTGAAAACTATAACCCAAATATAATAGCTGTGTTGTAAATAAAAAGTTAAATAGTCTGTTTCTTTTAGAGAAAACCAGCTTTTGGTCCTTATAAGCTGTCCAAACCCATCTTTGAGTCTTAAAAAAGGAAGAAAGTCCTGGCCTGCAGTTTTAAGAGGACTCTAGACCACAGATCCCTTCAGATAATCAGTGTACTAATTGACATCTTTCACAACCTACTCTCTGTCAGAGAGCTGAAAATTTTCAGATTAAAATATTTCCAAGATACTTCCTCTCATACACACAGAAGTTGTGTTTCCCAGCACAAGAGTCTTAAAATATTTTGTGTTTTAGCACTATTTTATTTAGAATTCTTTGGAAATTTAATCTAATTCTCCATGTTAACTAGATAAAAAGTTCTATGCCTTCTGCCAAAATTACACTGACAGTCTTGTCCCATCCTTTTGTTCTTTCCTTATTCCTTCAGTGTAGGTTTCAGAAATCTTGACAATCTTTGAATAATACTCCTATATACCAGCTGTGCTTTCTGTGCAAATATGTTGTACCTGTGAGCTAAATAAATACTACTGTGTATCAGTTTTGTTCGTTCCCAGGAAAATAATGCAAATAATTTGAAACAATCAATATTCTTAAATACTACTGTTTCAGGGAATCATCTATTATGTCACGACATCCCCCAAGCTAGAGGAGTGGTTAGCTAACGAGACAATGCAGGAAGGACTGCGGTTGTGCACAGACCGCAATTATGTTGATGTAGACCCAACATTTAACCCCAATATTGATGAGGATTATGACCATCGTCTGGCGGGGATCTCAAGAGAGAGCTTCTGTATGATATATTTGAACTGGATAGAATATTGCTGCTCTCGAAGAGAAAAGGTAAGTACAGACATGTGAGGAAAACCATTCACTATTCTAGGATGCTCTCATTTTTTCCCACTGGTTTGACTTACTGTCTGGTTCAATGCTGATTTTTAAAATAAATACATATAATCAAAGTATTTTCATTGAAATGGTTTTGATCTTCTACTTTTGAGAAGCTAATAAATTCTGTAAGTAACTTATGGTTTAACCAGTTAATTAATGAATTTTATTTGCTAGCTCAAATTAATCAGTTGAGTCTTAGGCATTTATCTACATACAGAACAGTATGCTTACAGAATTGATGTTTTGTGCTTAGAAATCACTGTTCACAAATCAAGCCTAACTTAAACAAAAAAGTACCAAAGCGAAACAAAACCCCATAAAACTCCAAATACCTGTTGCCAGCTTATAAGACTGGCTGCTTCTTTCTCATTGATCATACTGTACTGTTCCTTTGGACTGCTGGAATTGTTGACTTGTGAAAATGATCGTCCTGTATTCAGTCTTTTCTTCTCTCCAAAATCTTTCCACCTTTTAAACAGGAAATGATTGTAGAGGAATGCCTTGACTTCTTACTGTTTACAAAATAACTGTGTATGGTCTAGTCTAATTAGTGTTGCCTTTGAGAATAAGCAGAAATTGATTGAGATTAAAGGGACAGGAATATAATTGGAATTTACGTGTTTAACGAAGGATCCAAGACTTAAAGAGTTCAGTTTTGCTTTGGAGGTAAAAGATGAGTAAGAAGCCCATTTTAATGGGTGTAAGACTTAGTGTCCTGTGGTCAAATGACAAACAACAACCAAAGGAAATTGTTTCCCTCCAAGTCATGATCATGAAAGATTTTATGTATGTATTGAAAATCAGATTTAATCATTTAATTGCATTATGCCATTTTCTAAGGCATTATATACACTGTACAACTACTAGTGGCTTTGAACTGAAGGCAAGTTTCTCCAGATTAAAGCTTAGTCCAGGGAAGTTGTTGGTTAAATCAGGATTAAATACTCCTAGTCAGCTAGAATCCACTGTATTCACTACAAATATTTTTGTCTAAACCCCATAATTTTGCTAATCAACAGTTTGCTTACAAGATACACAGTATCCATGAGGAATGTACCATACATCTATTCAGTTTATGATTTGTCTTCTTTCAAATAATAGTACATGTGTGTTTGCCTTTACAAGTATCCTTACGTATTTGCAAAACTCTTGCTCAGAGTTTCAAACAGGATTGTTTTCTTAAGAGTAGCTGGTTTAGTGGGTATATATGTACACCTGAGTTTGTGAACTGTGACATGTTTGGGTCTTTTACTCCTTCTGGTGGAATTGACTTTTTCAGTGGTGATTTCCTTACTCCGTTCACCTGACTTACTATTTTCTCTTTTGTTATTATAAGCCACTGGATTCAAGTAAAGACTCACCCCTAGTGACATTGTGTTATGGACTGTGTGTTCTGGGGCGGAGAGCATTGGGAACAGCTTCACATCATATGTCTAGGTAATAAAATACTGTTGTTGTAAGCTTCCCATCCTCAAAATCCTTCTGAGTTCCTCGGTTAGGTGTTAGGATGAGTACTTTTTCATAAAAGAAATGGATAATTCATGTTGTCTTCCCTTAAACTGGACAGATTTGCTATGTAACTTGTCTTTATTATAACAGCCAATGAAACATAACCAAAGAAAAGCAAACAAGGGAGAACTTGAATCTGAGCATCTTGTCTTATTGAACTAATGCAAGATGAGAATTCTGGTATGGGTAATGACCAGTTATAACAGATGGGGGGAAAAAACCCAAGAACTGATTGAGTTCTAAAAGTAAGCTCCATTTCCTGCACCAAGTAGGTGCCCTATGTGGAAATAAGGGGAAGAAGAGGGAAGTTTCTTAAAATGGAGAACTCATATCTTGGTGGATGTTAGATCAGACGGTTATGATAAGTTTCACAGTTTAGCTGGTTCTGTGGCAAGCGGTTGTGTTTTGTACAAGTCTCCTTCATCTCAACTCTGCTGTGATATGGCACCTTCTTTCTTGCAGACTGACAGCTTCAGCTCTAGAAATCCAATGTAAAATATAGTTAAATGTTTCAGGAAATCACAAGGTGGTGGTTTAAAAAGAAAATAAAAAGCATAATCAGATGCAGAAGCTATTGGTCAGCTGGGTGCTGACCGTTCTACTTCACTTTTAGGGCAACTGTTGACTAATTCTTTTAAGTACCCACCAATTGCCTCCTGAAAGTCTTGTAAATATGCAGTTGCAAGGGTGATCAGAGCATATTTGATTTTTCACTCTTTAGTTAGTAATTGAAAACAACGCCTTTTTATTTTGTCCTGAAGCATGCACAACTGAAGTTACATATCCTCCTATGTGTTATATACCTTGAAAAGTTTTCTCTAAAAATCTTCAGAACAAAGTCAGGCAGTCCTTATGGTGTTCACATTTACTTTAGTCCATGTAAATAGCCTGTTGTGTATGGCTTGTTCATTACCTGTTCAGAGCACATAGACATCTGATGTCCAGGTTTTGCTTACACGCACTTCTTTACTCATGTTCTCTTCTCCCTGCCTTATCCTGCAGCTTTATAGAGAGGAACTGTGTGCCCTTCTGTACAGCTCAATATTGTATGTTCTTTTCAGTGATGATATCTGTGGATATGTGTGTATTTCTGTTCATATTTGGGCTGTTTTCTTCATTATTTTTTCCCCTCAACAGTAATCTGGAATCCTTCTTGTATGGCCTGCATGCCCTGTTTAAGGGTGACTTCCGTATATCGTCAATTAGAGATGAATGGATCTTTGCTGACATGGAATTGCTGAGGAAAGTAGTGGTTCCTGGCATTCGGATGTCACTTAAGTTACATCAGGTAAGAGATTACACAGAAAGATGGGTCCAGTTCTTTTTATTTCTGTGCGTTTGTTCTTTTAAAAATAAGTGGCTGGGAGAGAGAAAAAAGAGGACGATAATAAAAGGCATGTGAGGGAGATTGACAGCTGAAAACGAGGGAATATCATGTCTTGTCCTTTCATTTATTACAACTCTTGTGGAAGTTGATATAGAGGAAAAGGGAATGTCGTTTATGCTCAGAGCTTGAAAATTACATTAAATGTAGATCAGAGAACATGTCAAGCCTTGTTTCATACCTGTCTAGAGATATTTCCCTTATGAACAGCTTCTCTCATATATTCCCTCTCTCTCCCCTCTCTACACATCTGTAATTGGCTTAAAAGGTTATCGTGCATTCAAAGCTGCACAGCCCTCTCCTCCAATGGGAGTTGTTTTTCTTGTTCTTTTTACTTTGAAGTGTTGTAATCACAGGTTTCAGGTGGGAATGAGAAGGCTGCTTTTCAATAAGCTGAAATTAGAGTTGGTCTTTATAGCAAAGTGAGGGTGAAGATGAACAATCTCAAATTCTGTCCAGTGAATGTATTGACTCATCTCAGCAAGTACAAGAAAGCATGTACTTAGTGATAAGCACTCTGTAAGGATGGAAAAGTATTGGTACTCTAGAAGAATAGATTGCTTGAAAATCATAGGCAAATCGAAGGCACATCTTAATTGCACTTTTAAAATTATTATTAAAGGTTCTTTTTTTGCCTTCATTGCAGAGTCCAGAAGTCTCCCCAAGCTAGCAGCAACTGAATCAACTCTTTCATGTAACACAAACTCTGAATTTAGCAGTATGTGTATGTTAGGAGTACAGGTAACAAAGCAGAATAATTACAAAATCATTGCTGAAACCAGCAGAAGTACTACTTCAACATCTCTGGAGCGTTCTCAGAGGGTTACTGTGCAGAATGGGCTTGAATTAAGTCAGGAAATGAAAAATGAGAAAAATAAAGATCAGTCTAACAAATAAAATGTGTTTTTTTGAGCATTATTTTATTAATCTATGAAAGGTTTTTATTTGCTTGCAGTGCTTCAGCCAGGATATGGAAATTTGGCTATTAACCACAATCCTTTTTTTAACCAGAAAGTAATGTGACCTGACACTGAATTGAACTTGTAGATTTTGTGTTTGTATTTGACTGGTAGTAATGTAAGTTGTCTTGATAGTATCTGATGCTGAAATAGTTTGTCATCAATTGTCAGTGTGAACTTTCTAATAGTAAATATTGTTTTTCTTCCTATTGCTCTTTTCATATAATGCAGTCTCAGTGAATAATCAGTGCTTTACTTCAGTGTGTTTTACAGTTGGAGGCTTGTGATTAAGAAAAAAGCTAAAACTAAAATACTTCTGTAAGCAGTATAAATAGATAGAAATCTAGTGTAAAATTAACCTAGAAATTTACTTGAATCAGTGATAGGCAGGTACTTCCGATCATTTTGGTTTTAAGTTAAAAAAAGAAGCAAACAAGTGAACAGAACCAGTCTGTTGGAAGAGGTTATCTTTAATGTTCTAAAGTAGGTATTCAATATTTTTGATGGCTAACTTTGTGTAATGCTCTGATCATTTCAAGAGTTTGAAATGTTTGGTGTTTATATGTAGCTACATCTGAAATGCTAATCATACCTAATTGAACATGTATTCTTGGAAACAGGATCACTTCACTTCTCCAGATGAATATGATGATCCTTCTGTCCTTTATGAAGCTATAACAACCCATGAAGAAAATCTAGTTATAGCACATGAAGGGGACCCTGCTTGGCGGAGTGCAGTTCTTTCCAATTCTCCGTCCCTTCTTGCTCTGCGTCACGTGATGGATGATGGCACCAATGAATATAAAATCATCATGCTAAATAAGCGGTATCTCAGTTTCAGGGTCATTAAGGTAAGCTTTGTGCACATTTCACAGTGGGACAGTATGTTGTGTGTTTTAATAACTGTACCAAACTGCAACTTGAACTCCAATCTTTGTTTTGTTATTGCTAGGTCTGCTTCTTCTCATACAGTGCAAATACTGTTTCAGAAAATCAGTTCCTTCTGACTTAAAATATCTTACTTCTCATTCCATTCTTAGATTTGCTTTATTGTCATTGTTGCAGACTGTGTCCCTAAGTTCAGCCTGTTAAGGAAGTGCATATGCATGCTTGCAGTTCTGCAGGGCAGTATTGCATATGCTCATGAAGGCTTTGGTATATGGCACAGCAGTCACCACACGTTCTCATTGCTTCACTTTCTGACTGTCTTTCTACTTGGCTTTTGCAGGTGAATAAGGAGTGTGTGCGTGGCCTGTGGGCAGGGCAACAGCAGGAGCTTGTCTTCCTGCGTAATCGTAATCCAGAGAGAGGAAGTATCCAAAATGCTAAACAAGCTCTGAGGAACATGATTAACTCCTCTTGTGACCAACCAATTGGATACCCAATCTATGTCTCACCTCTGACTACTTCTTATTCAGACAGTCATGAACAGCTAAAGGACATTCTTGGAGGAGCCATCAGCTTAGGAAACATCAGAAACTTCATAGTGTCTACATGGCACAGGTGAGCTGAGGAAATGAGTTCTCATTACTATTTGTTCATGCTCTCATATTCCACTAACTAGTTCTGTACAACAGGCCCAACACAACATACCTTATAATAGTGAGTCCCATAAAAATAAATTCACGTTGAGTTTTATTTTGGGCACATCAGTAGCATGTGGCAACTACTTTGGCACAGCATGAATCTTCAGGGCTGAGACCACAAAGTATGTAAATAGAGCTCAGAGGAAAGAAGACAAAGTCTAGATACAAGAATCACAACTTCAGTTCTAACATGAGGTCTGATAATGAGAGACAATTCAACTTCTGTACTATTTTTTTCAGTACCTTTGCTTTTGTAGTCTAAAATACCATCTTTATAGAATAAGGACTTTTTGATAGGGTTCCTGTCTGGCACAAATTTGGCATGAAAGTGTCAATATTAATGCTGTTAGGGTATGCTCATATATATGCATAGTAACACAAGCTGTTGTTCAAAATCTCATGAGTACTTACAAATAATCCTGAATGTCAGAGCCAGAACAAATAACTGGAATGGTAATATAATTGTTTCCCCACATGACCCCTGGGTAATTCAGTACAAACTGTTGCTGTGCTGTGTTTCATAGGCTATGGAACTTTTACTGCATTTCTGGCCACTGTGACTGTGGCTCCAAAAGCAACAGTGGTAGCTGTGTGTGGCATTCAGAAATGTGCATCCCAGTTCTCACCACTTCCAGGAGTTGGTGCCATAGTCTGAACAGTCCTGTAGCTGTTCTGATAGTCATATTTAACTTAGACATCGATGGCACATCAAAACAGAACATTGCTGCTTCACCTCAGAGTATGCCACATTTACTGCAGTCCAAGGTGTTTGTCTTCTGTCACCATCTGCTTGTCAGACTCTATAGAAAAAAAAAATCCAACAAACAGTCTTTTCTTTCTATTCTGAGTAGATGAAGATTTTGCAGTATAACAGTATGCATGACTAGTGTGTTAAGTAGCATAAATTTTACTAAACTGTTACAAAATAATTAGGATGTTCTACCAACATTTTAGAATTTTATCACTTTACTGTACTTCAGAGGTAGGATAATTTTTAAAAAGCTGTTTTCTATGAACATTTGACTTGTCATAAATAAGTTATGGGATAGCTGTCATGAGGAAAATTGCAATCTCTTAGAAAGCAGCATTTATATTTGCAAAGCATATTCTGAAAAAACAGAGTCAAGTTTGATTATGGGGAGTGCTTTGGATTGTGCTGAGTAAAGCTTTTTGCTTGTCATGAGGCATTTCATAGAATCCTGATATTAGGAGGCCTGACTTAATGTATGAATTGTATTACATTTCCAGACTAAGGAAAGGCTGTGGAGCTGGCTGCAATAGTGGTGGAAATATTGAAGATTCAGATGCTGGAGGTGGAGCTTCTTGCACAAGTAATAATGCAACTATCAATGAGTCACAGAGCAGCATGTCACAAGGAGGAGGGAATGCAACTACAGGGCAGGGACCTGGAGCAGTACAGCACCCTCCTGTTGCAGCTCATCCCACAACTTTTCCTGCAGCTCATCCACCAACTCATCCCTCCACTCTGGGTAAAGTTAAAACAAAGAAACAACTTTATACAAGTTCAATCCTATAGCCAGAACTGACCTTTCAGCTCTTTTGGCCTAAGTTAAAAGAAAAAGCACACAGAAGTGATGTAATTTTATATAGTGTTAAGAGTTGTTGGATTAATCTCAAACTACAGTACTATTTTATGCAATGCAAGATTACCAAACAGATTTGAGCAAAAGGGGTATAGTTGTGCTGATAAAATAGATTAAATAACTTTTTATAACATGTCTCCGCACACTGGATCTTTTCACTTCTGTTCTATTGTCTGCGATTGCTAAACTTGTCGGGTTTTGTGAATGACTTGTATTACTTATTTATACAGTGAAATGATTTCTATTTCTGTAGTATTCGAGCTGAATCCTATCCAAGGGTCCATAGTGATCTGTAGTTAGGGAGGTGACAAACAGTAAAGCTGAGAAAGTTTTTCAAAGACTGCCTTTACTCATAAAGAAAATATGCATCTATGTAGCTGAATGAACATAATTAGATCTATCTCTGTGGAGAGGTATTTGCAAATACTTATTATAGGAAAAGCAGTGACACCAATGCTCATGAACTGCAATTTGTTTTTAACTTTAAATGCATTAAATTCTTCTGAACTTGTTTTAAAGCAACTGTTTTTCTAACAAATTTTCTGACCCAAAATTTGAATGTGTAGTCAGCGTATTAAGAAAGAATATTCAGTATTTTGAAACATGAACATCTGTACCTGCCTTGTTGCCTTAAGTATGGGAAACTTAAGTGTTTCATATTAAGGAATAAATTGCAGAAAGAGCAAGACTGAAACATTTTTCAAGCTACTTGTCTGACAGGGATTGTGAATTGAACAGAATATGAAATTCCGAGATGAGTAGAATGTATTCAGATGTTCTGCTGTGTGAAATGCAACAGAGATCTGTGATACAGCTGTTGCAGATGACGTTGATTAGACCAATCAGTTTTGTATATCTATGTACTAAAATGTTTTTGTGTCAGCAATCTAATGTGTGTGGGAGGCTTTATCAAACTTTCCTGATTCTGTGTCTTTTATATTTTAGGCACCAGTCACAGCTCTCACTCTGTGCAGTCCAGCCTTGTCAGACATTCCCCTGCCCGTGCCTCAGTAGCTAGCCATTCATCTTATTGCTACGGCAGTCGTCATTCATCTCTTCGCACATCCACAACAGGCTTTGTGCCTTGTCGGCGCTCTTCCACCAGTCAGATATCCCTTCGTAACCTCCCATCGTCCATCCAGTCCCGCCTATCTATGGTGAACCAAATGGAACCTACTGGCCAGACTGGGGTCAGCGTGCAGCATGGACTGCCCTCTTCTAGCAGCTCCAGCCAAAGCATCCCAGCCTGTAAACAGCATGCCCTTGTGGGCTTTCTAGGGACAGAAGGAGGGAGTAATGCAGCTGAAACTCAGTCAGGTGGCAATGCAAGCCCTGCAAATCAAATGCAAGCCAAAAAGGATGACGTTATTTACAGAATCCAGGTGAATAGTCTAGAAGAACAAGTTAATCTATGTTTCCACATGCTTTTGTTAGTTGTTACTTTGTATGTTGTTGAAATCATTACTTTTAAATACATATACCTTCAGGAATGTCTGGGTATACAGTTTCTGCGAGGTTATGGTTGGAGAACTAATCTAAGGGAAGAGTTTTCTGGACAAGAAGCCTTCCTGCATGCTCCTGGTTTACATTATTTATGTTTTACTGTAGTACAGCATTGAGAAGGTCAGCGGAACTCAGTTCCACTTCATACTTAGTTTGCCTTTATACATTGCAGCATGTAAAGCTAAACAGCTTCATTTGCAGGGTACAAAGCAACTAGCTTTTTTCTTTGAAGCCAAGTAGATTTTCTACAAACTTAGTGTAAATATACTTGCTTTCACTTTCACGTGTATTTATTCCTTGGTTATTGCTATGTCAGGGTTTAATGAGCAGCAAATAGTACACTATTGACTAAGTTAATCCTGGCAGCCTTACTTGTTTTGAAAATCCAGCAACTTGTATTCTTGCTTTCCTAGCTTTTATTAGCTCAACATACATGTCTTTGGCATTATATTAGTGGAAAACATCAAGAAGTGTATTAAATAGACTAGATCATAATAGACATGATTGCTGATATTACCTCAGTTTAGAGTAATTTTTAGTAAACTGCATCATAGTGGGCAAAGTTAACAAAGTAAATTTTCAGGTCTGTGCTTAGTAGCTTTTTTTTGCGGGCAAGGGCCCTTTTATGAAACTGCTTACTTTGTGTGAGGAGGATCAAGGCAAAGTAGACATGTGCCCTTGATTCGTGGACATTATGGAGTTCTCTCTGTCCTTAAATAAGTAGTTTTCAGGAGTTTTCTCCTGCTTCCCCTGGGGGAAGACCAGTTTACTTCACAGCACAGAGTGCTAGTAGATAAATTCTTTTCTGCCTAGCAATAAATTCTCCAAGACCATGTTTCTTAAGATATTATATTCTGTAAGAAGTTAGGAACCGATTTTAACAGCTCATCATCACTTAACTCTTCCCCGCTACTATGCTGTGTGCTGCCAATGCTTACATTGTGCTGGCTCCCCAGACCCTGCTGTGAGCCAGTATAACGGAAGGAAGTGGGAAAGGGAATCAGAGCTGTTGCTTCAGTGAACTGACATGTTGTCAAATGTGTCTGAAACCACAGCCTCATTTCCAAATTCAGTGCTGCACAGGCTTTTTCCTAGCCTGGAGCTTGTTTCCAACATTGAAATGGGTCAGAAATCAATTTCAGTGGGTTAAAGCCAGTTATCTGGAAGTATGCAAAAGGTTACAATTTATCTGTTTCTTTAAATTTTGGCTGAACTAACAGTCAAAACTCAATTCCTACTTATAGTTAATGGATCCCAGTCAAGTACTGGAAGGGATCAACGTGTCAAAAAGGAAAGAGCTGCAGTGGCCAGATGAGGTGATACGGCTAAAAGCTGGAAGAAACAGCTGGAAAGACTGGAGTCCTCAGGAAGGCATGGAAGGCCATGTAAGTTTTGCTTAGAAGTTGCCAAGCTAACCGTAAGGCAGTGTCTTGATTCTACAGCAGTCTGCCTAGATGTCAAGGCCAAAGATAGATGTACTAGTAAGTTAGATCAGCAGCTGTCCTTGAAGTCACTGTTGCTGTGCTAATTTGAAGCAAAGAGATATTTCTGTAACTTTATGCAAAAGATGCAGGATGGTGTTTTGAATGTTGTCAACCACCTCTCCTTCCTGCCTGCTTCCTGCTCTTGTCATGAACTCTCAGGCATTGCACTCATTCATCCAATTTTCATTTTCATTTTCTTTAAATTCCTGAGCAAATACAGAAGGTCAGTTTACCAATGGCTCCTAAATTGAATGATTAACAGTATTTGGTTCTAAATTATTCTGATCAAAAAAAGAGCCAAAAAAGATTGTCTTTAGATGTCTCTTTATTAAATATCATAGGTATTTTCTTCCCTTTAAGAAGAAAATCTGTTCTAAAACTTGTGCAAGCCTATGACTTGAAATTCCATCTCTTTTCCTTAGGGGTGTTACATCTGCATTTTATAAAAAATTACTGCATTAGTTAGAAAACTTATCTCCCAATTTAGGCTCTTCTTATGAGGGAAAAACCCAGATCTGTCTTTGAAGCTTTTTGATTTTACTGAGGTATAGACTTTTTTTTTAACCTTTGTGTTTGTGTCTGTAAAGATGCTTCAGTGAGTATTCTTTCAGTGATAAATAGTAAAAGGGAAGAGTCACTGATATTGTGTTTGCATTCATCAATACAACTGTATTTTCATTTGGAATATGGCAGTTTTGACAGTTGAGAAGGAATGTCTTTGACTGCTTACCTCAGTTGGAGGCGTTACTTATAAATTGGATTCAGGGGATGGATTTTGCCATCTGAAAGTCCACATCGCTGTGGATGTATTTGCAAACTTCAGGTGAGAAATGGCAATACGCTGGTAACAGAGCGTATGCTGGATTTACCTTGTTGGTATGTGTTTGTGCAGGAAGGGCCCTGAAAATACAATTATTCAGGAATTTATCAGAGTTAACAGCCCACTCTTAAGATAGAGTTACCTTGTAGGTAACTCCTGGGAGTAGAATGCTGTTGTAAACATTCACTGTTATGTTTGGTTTAGACATACTATCGCAAATCAAGAATGTCACAAGGATACGGAATGTAGAGGGTTATATTGAAACATGTCCTGTTGTCTGGTATCATGGGACAGTTTTTTTCAGGAGTTTGAGTGTAATTTGTGAACTGCAGCACACTGACATGTGCAGTAATTGATGTTACAGAAAGATTAAAACAAGAGGATTTAAAGGTCAGAGTAAGCTGCTGTTCTGAATGCTTCTCATCTATTTTTGGTGCAGCATACTGGCAGGGTTTTTTAGAAGAGCATCTTTTAACCTAAGAGGAAAGGGGAAAGCACCAGATTATCCAGTGTGTGATTAGGAGGAGAGGATTTAACTTGATGACATCGTTTCTACTGCCTGTGGTTAAAATACTAGCCTCAGTAAAGTCCTTAGCTCGTAGGATAGTATTACCTTTCTGCTCCTACAGCTGTGGTCCTTACTGCAAGTAGGCAGAAATGATTCTTACCTGCTGAGATGCTGCTCATCAAGCAGTTTACCTGATGAAGCCTTATGTCAGTGCTCTCAGTATGAACTTCTGCACTCAGTAGTTTAAAACTTTGCTGCAAAGTAGAAAAAAGTATTTTTCCTAACTTTGCTTTTTATTTTGCTAAGTATGCAGTACAGTGTATATTATAAGGCAGAAAGACATGATAAGGTTTCTTCAAGGAAATTTAATTTAGCAGTCCTCTTTATAATGTAGATGCTTTTTCCAGATTTTGAGATAAAGGTACACTCAGCATTATCTTTCTATGACACATGACACTGGCATGTAGAAGAACTTTTTCCTCCCAGGAGATTCTTATCACTTCTTGATTATCTAGAGACATTTTGCATGTTATCACTCATTTATAGAGACCACATAAATGCCAGTCATGATAGAAGAGATGGTAAAACTGAGTGTGGGGGTATGGCTGTGGTGAGTTTTAATCTATGTACAACTTTTGCATGTAAACAGTTTCGAAGGAGCCAGGATATTGATGCCTTTGGAATCAGCCCTTAGCTATCTCAAAGGCACCAGTTTTTAAGTTGGACAACAAGGATGTAGTACCTGGGACTTCACTGGGCGATGTTTTATGTTCTGGGGATAGAATATTCCTGGCCACATTCCATACAGCTGTCGAAGAAGTTTATATGGACACACTTTGAAGTCAGACTTGAACGGACCGCTTACATATGCTGTTGCATCAAAGGGGAGCTAAAGATGCCATGCTTCCCTGGCTGAAATGCTCTCCCTGGGAATGCAGCATAGATCTCATGCAGTGGACAAAGCTGAATCTCCTTCACCCACTGTTCAAGAAATAATCAGCTGGGTTTAATGAAGATGAAGTGGATCTCTTGAATTTGATCTTGGAAGATACAGATCACTCGTGATTTTCTGCCTTTTTTTCTCCCACCTGTATCTTTAGAACTCTTGAAAACTGTACTGTCTTGGATTTTGTAAAAATTAATTTTATTTGCTTTTTAACTTACCTTGTCTTGAACTAAGGGTTGTTTTCTCACAGCTGGCAAATTTGAGGTAATTCTGTTTCTGTGGAGCTGGCAATATTTCAAACCACGTTACTGGAGCATCCTTATGGTTTCTTTGGGGCACCCAGAAGTTAAGGGTATATTTTTTTGGAGGCAGCTGAGCAGAGACATTCAAGGTCACACAAGGACCTGTATGGAAAAGAGACCTTTTGATGGTCAATATCAGGCAGGATCCTTGGGAGCAGCAGATTGAAGTACCTGAATTCTGTAGATCCAAAGAGTAGTTGGTAGCTCTGTTTCTGAAATTTTTCCTCTTCTTAATACTTCTAGTTTTAAATTATCTTTGAATAACTTAAGTCAGAAGATCAGTCTTGCATTCACACTGAGTAGGGAAAAAATTAGAGCAAAGGCTCAGAGGAGACTGTAGTTTTCATCTATCTCCTGATAAACTGGAGTTCTGTGCTGCACAACACTAAGGTATTTTAAGACTTACAGCTAGAGCATCAGAATATCCCAAATCTGTATATGTGCCCATTTTTCAATTGTTACTCACTTTACCATGAACTGTTTGGTTCTGCTTTTGGTCAAGTTGTTTGTCCCTGCTGAAATCTAAATCAAAGACTGGCTGTTCTCAGGTAAGCAAGCTGTTCTCACAGTTGGCCTCACTGTTCTTAGAGATCTTTTCCAACCTAATAGATTCTGTGATTTTAAGAAGCACATCTTCAGCAAGACTTAAACAAGTAGCTTGTCTGTAGATATGCTGTCACTGAATCATGAACGACTAAGTCAGTATAGCACTTATATTTTTGCTCCTTTTACCCTGTAAGAGTCTTGAATTATCAACCATAACTTTGATAAGGCAGCTCTCCATATGGAGCTTACATTTTATTATACTTTTTTTTTTTTCCCCCTAGGTGATTCACCGCTGGGTGCCTTGCAGCAGAGATCCAAGTAGTCGGTCACATATAGATAAAACCATCCTGCTGGTTCAAATTGAAGATAAATATGTTGCTGTTGTTGAAACTGGAGTCCTTGAACTTGGGGCTGAAGTGTAAATCTCTTTGAGACTGAAACTTCCCCTTCTCCAATGGTTCAGAAGAGAGAAGGGTCCAGAAGAAGCAGCTCCTGGGACTTGAAACTTTGGTCCGGTTGTAGGAAAGGACTTGAAACACAGATTTGTCTAAGTCCCTTTCCCCAAATAAACACGTGTAAGAAAATTTTTTAAGTTGTTAGCTGCTGAAGAAACACTTGCATGAAGGATAGATTTGTTGAGACATATCTTTTTGTTTATAAATTTTGTTATGCATTGCGTAATGCTTTAAATCAACAAACTTTTCAGTTCTAAGATCAGAGCACCTCATATTTTTCTAATTGTTTTGCCAAAAATTGCCATGTCTTGTCACAGAGTGTGTGGAATTCATCCACCTTATTTTAAAGAAATTGACTACAAACCTTCAGTTTGGTAAAACAGTGTAAGGGTTTCAGGTGTGGCAAGAAGAGACTGAACAGATGTATAGATTCTTATTCCTTATGAGCTAAACATTAATGAGAACTGCACTAATTTTTTTACAGCAATGCACTAAAAACAACCCTGAGATTGCTGAGAACATTTATTTATATATATAAATATAAGTATATAAAATACCATTATTTAAATTGCCTTTGGGATTAATCCCCTCCCTCTCCATATACATGTTGATGGTAAGGGCTGTGCCATGGGTTTGGTTCTATGTTCTGTATTTCGTACAAGTGCATTTGCTGCATCCTCTTCACAATAAATGGTAAAATAACAAATACATAGAAAAGCACCTGAGTATCCCTGTACTACATCAGACTTTATTGTGGTGGCAGTGGTACCTCAAACCTGTACAACACGTCTAGCTTTAACGTGGGCCCCAGTATATGACCTTTCATCTGTCCTCCCTTCACTAGCCATAGCTGCTTGGCTTCTTTACCCAGAGCTGGCTGTGTTGTTTCATTGGCTTTTCTCTGGCAGGCACGGTTGTTACAGTTGTGTAGGGGGAGGTGCAGGGTCCGTGATTTCTTCATGGATGCTTGAAGGTTTTTTTTATTCTATCCAATTTAAAAAGAAAAAAGACAACAACAACCTCCCTCCCTCCAACAACAAAAAAAGAATGCAAGAAAACTTGACTTCTGTTTTTAAAGGTCTTTTATAGAAGGCACAGCCCTAAACTTGTATCACTTTTACCACCTTGCCTTTTCTTTCCCTTTAGTCTTCATTCTTTTCTATGACTTGAATTTTATTTTCTGTGGTTATATATTCTATGTAAGTGTAATTTGAGTATTTATAACTGTGAAGTTGAATTATTCATGTGTTACATATCCTAGGTTTTATTGTATTTTTTTAAAAGTGTGTATTCAGGGAAACAAGTAACTCAGAACTATCATGGGAGTGTGAGAGGGAAACTGGTTTGTTCTTGACTTGCAATTCCTGTGATTCACTTTTCTTAATCCGTAAGAAAAAAATGTACCTGTTGTGATTGTTTCCTGTTTCTGACCTGTAATTACATAGGACTCTGTGGAGAAACTGCATACAGTCCTAGCTTTTGGGAGCAGCCATCTTCTTCCCAGCCACCTCCACTTCTTTATATGTATTGCAAGCAGAAGAGACTTCTGATATACCACAGAGGTTGTAGTAATTATTTCTCTGACATCAGAGAAACATTGTCCATTACGTACCTAATGTAAGAATGAAATTGTATGGGATAAGGAGGAAAAAAAAAAAAAGGAAGGAACAACTACCTACGAAGCATTAGTATTTCAACTCAAGTCACTGTATGCCATCTAGCCATGAAAGGGTAAGTGTGTGCCTGGTAGCTAGTCAATTCTAGATACTGTTCCCAGTGAATGATACTGGGACCTTGCTTGTGTTGTATTCTATGCAAACTTGTCCTCAAAATACTGTGCATCTTACAGTTGCATATTACTATTCAATTTATTCATATGCAGTCCCATTCAGTCATGGTATAAATGCACAGTTCTGGATCTGCCGCAGTTAAAACTGTCGGACAACAAAATTATTTGTCATAAGTACACATTATAGTGTAGTTGAATTCATCTCCTGCATATCGGAAAATGTACAGTAGATGAACCTTCTTTAGCAGTCTGGTACTGCTGTCATCAGGAATGAACAAAGTGTGTAAGTTTTGAATTGAAGGTGTTTTAGTTAAGGTTTTATTCTATGTCCTTCCTTTCAGGTAAATATCCCTTTAATTAATTAACCCTTCAGGTTTTCTCTAAGTGTGATAGAGAACTTCATTTTAGAAAGAGAAGTTTGTTTGAAAATAAGCCCCCATTTGATATTAGTTGCATGGTTGTGTTTTTTGTTGTTTTTTTTTTTTTTTCTTGTACTGAAGCCTTGAGGTAAACAAATGACTGAAAAACAAAATACATAGTTGGGTTGTTGGGGTTTTTTTTAAACTTGACTGAAGCAACTTTCAGTATGTTAACCCTGGGCTCTGAACACTCACTCTCTTTAGGGCAAGATAAGGACAATGTCCATTGTTGATAATAGGCATTATAGGAATTAATGGCTTGTTGACGTGGAAATTTTAGAGCATATGTAACTGCCTGGAATTAGATCAGCAAACAGCAGATGGGGAAAGAGAGAGGCTCTTTTTTAAGGGGCAAAGAGAATTGATGGATATTTCTGGGATTTTTTTAAATAATAAGGCTTTTGGTGTGTTGCCTTCAGGAGACGGATTTTAATGTGGCCAGCAAACAGTGACAAAAACATGTTTGTTTTCTTTTAATTCCCACAGGATAGATCTATCTGTGGAAACCTCTATTTTAGATGGAGGTACTTTCATCTTTTGCTTTCTCTTCTTGGCTTTTGTCTTGATGTGTAATATTTTTCTCCTCTTTTGAGGAAAAGATGGGTATTCTCAAGTTAGTCCTGTCAGTCCAGATTGAGTTTACCATAGCATAGTATTTTATAGATCTTTCTTTCATGAAAATCCGTTAGAGGTGAGTGTTTTACTCTGTCCATTTGCATTGTGATATTTTCTTGCCATAAGAACATTCCATTTAAGTCCCACTGTTGTAGCTTTCGAGTAGATCCCAATCTATTTTCTTTTTCTCAGATTTCTTTAAAGGTGGTATCTATGTGTACATGTTAGGACTTACTTCTCCCTAAAACACTCAGTTACAGAAAAATTCTTGAAAACCCCACCACTTAGATCATATTCATTAGTAAAAATGGCTACTACCTGTTTTTTTAAAAACTTCTTCATATTTCACTTCCCTGGGAAATCTTTTAAAATGTTCTGATTAAAACAAAAACCTCAAACTGTGTGACACCACTGATGATATCTAAGCTTCTGTGCCACTTGCACTGTATGATACTAGTGATGGATTCTGGGGATCTCTCTCATGGTTCAGCATATGGGAAATGGTTTCAGAGTTTTGGGAAGATGATGGTTATTTTCTGAGGTAATTCCATGTAGGCTGAATGGTGCTGCAGCCGCTTTGCCTGGGACATCTGGCATGTCTGCGTGGTGATCTCAGTTTTCCAGTCAGGTGTGCAGTTATCATGAGGCATTCCTCATCTCTCATGTTCACAATGCCCTGGGGACTGAAGAACTCTGAGAAGCCTGGATAACTGGTGAGGTGACAGATGAGGACTTGTGGCACAGGTGCTTTGGCAAGCAGCCCTAAAGCTTTGCCTGGACTTGGGCAAGGGGGGAGAAGAGATGCCTTACAGTTGGATTCAGCTTTCTCTGATAATTCGCGCACCACCATACGACCTAGGACTATAGATACAAAAACACTGCTTTAAAGATCTTTCTCAGTTTTAGAACTCTCCATTCACAAAATGGAGCTGGGTAGATTGCATTTCTTGCCATTAACAGTATTATTCAACTTATATTGGATTGGGGTTGTACCACCACAGGTTTTATGTACTTGATTTTATTAAGGAATTTTATACCTATTATATAGGCATCTGTTCTGTTCATGTCTGGCTTGCTATTTGATAATCTAATGCAGTACATTCAGTGACGCTGGACTCTTTCAGAAATTATATTGGTAATTCCTGGTGCCTTAGTAAAAAAGTGGGTACATAACACCTTGGTGGAAAAGTAAAGCATGTGACTTGTTTCACCCCAGCATGATATGCATATTTCTAAAAAGGTGATTAAGATGGCTGCCCCAAAAGATTTTGGGAATATACCTACATCACTTGGTCACAAACATCTGAATATGAGCAATTTTTATGACTTCTGGTATGTACAGTTTGAATAGATAATCCTGGTATACTTAGGCAACAACTTTGAAAGATGGCAATCAAATAGCTGGACATATAACTTCTTACAGACGCCCCCAAAAGCTTGACAGTAGCTGCTGGTTAGAAAATTGAGAGGGGAGTAGAGCATAAATGAGAGGATGGCTTTGTATTTTAATGGACAATGAAAATATATATTGCCTCTACCAGCAAACGGTTACCTTGCCAGGGATAGGGATATGTGTTCCTGCGTGTCTGTGAGTGTGTATGTGTCTGCGTGTGTTATTGGAAACAGCCTGTAAATATTGTAGCTGTTTAAAATGGAAAAGGCAGAGAGTTTTTTGCAACATGTTGCAGCAAAAGGACAGTATTGACAGTGAAGAAACACTGAGAAATAAAAAACCTTTTTTCACTTGTTGTCATTTATTGCACTATTACATTCTCTTCAGATGTCGTTCTCACAAATTCCCTATAAGGACTATTTTAAGTTTATTCAAATCACCCTTTAATGAAAGATTCTTTTGTTTAAAAGTTATCTCTTATGTAGATATAGTAGTAGAAAAGATAACCTCAACTATTCCTATTTTACTGCTAGCATCATCCCTGTTTTCATGCTTTTACAAAAATGAGGGCCACATACCTTCTCTTCTACAGTTAAAAATGGTTTGTCTTTGTTGAAGCATTTTCTCTCTATCATTCGTTTCCCTTTTCTTGAATGCTTTTCAAAGCCCAGAACACTACTGTACTGTCTTTATGCTCAGTAATTTTTCATACTTCCCAGGGAAATATTTTACCTAGTGTGGTTTAATCAGTCATTTCTAACTTTCTGCAGTCCTTGATCTGATAGCTGAGTGCAGCACTGGGTCAAGTCCTGATGAGCACTGTGCTTACACGAAGCACTTGTTGACATGGTGATACTAATTTAAAAATACTCAGCTGCTCTCTCTCCATTCTTTCAAATCCCTTCACAGTAGTACAGGGAATTACATTCTCATCTTGTCCCTCTGAGTTTGAAAAATTAACTTGTAACAAAAATCGTTGTCAGACAGCTCTGTGTCTTTCAAACTAAAACTTGAATGGTTTTGTTGTGTGTGGTTTTTTTGTTTGTTTGGGGGTTTTTTTGTGGGGCTTTTTTGTTTGTTGGTTTGGGTTTTTTTAAATCTGAGCAAGCATCTGCAACTTGCTTCTGTGTGGTTGCACAAGACAAGGTGACTTGACCTTTAGCTGCTTCAGGCTTCAATTTATGAATGAGAGAGGTGTGTACAAATATAGCAAGTGTTCTTGAAGGAAAACAAGTTGTCTTTAACGTAAGCAAGTCTCATTGAACAGATCAAAAGTTCTGTAACTGATGTGCATACAAAAAGCAGCTGAGCTTTCAGCTGCCACAATCAAAAAAAGGATGAGCAGCACTTCCACTAGTGATTTAGGGGTCGCAAAGGATAAGATGGATTTATGCTGTAGTCCACTGTTTCTTGCTGTCAGTGAAGGACTGCAACTGGTAAAAATTGGGGTACTGGAGCCTCAGTGTTTGGAATCTATTTTTGAGTTGAGTTTTGCCTGAGAGAAATCCAGTTTACAGACTCCAAGACTATCCCTGTGAGCTGATGTCTGGGAACTGGGAGCAGGGCCTTTGCTTCAACAACGTACACCTGGTTGGTGTCAATGTGATGCCTCTCTCCTGCCTTCCTTCTATTGCCAAAGGTGATCCTGTATCATAATTTTAACTGGTCTTCCTCTAAAAAGTACTTCTTGTGTAGAAAGATAATACTTGAGTTCCAGCGCACCTTGCCATGCTTACTTTCTAGATGTCCTTGGTTAGATAAGCTTACGTGAATTTTCCTCTGGTCATCAGAAAGTGGTTTGGGTTTCTTTCTGGTCTCCCTAGGCATGGCACCGCCCGCCGTGCCAAGCGGAGTTAGTGGGGGAGCGATGTGAGGCGGCTGAGCCGCTCCTGCGAGCGGCGGCTCTGACGTGTGGCTGAGGCTTCGCCCCTGGCGGCTGCGGGCGGGGCCGCGCTCGGCTCGGCTCGGGGCGGCCGCGGCCGGCAGGGGCCGCCAGAGCCCGCCCAGGCCCGGCCCGTGTGGGGGCGCGGGCCCGGGGCCGCCTCTGAGGGCCCGGCGGGAGCGGGGGAGGCGGGATCGGTCGGCGCGCTGCCACCCCGCGGGAGGGCCCCGGGAGCACAGTGCCTGTGCGTGCGGAATTCCCGCTCGCTGCTCTGCTCCGCTCTGGGCTTGCATTGGGGTTGTTCTCCAATGATGCCATTTGCATCCCCGCTCCCACCGAAGGGCCCGCTGAGCCGGCCGGCAAAGCGTGGTGGGTCCCGGGCCCCTGCGCGACACTGTCCTTCCCTCTGCAGAGCAGGGCAGGTATGAAGGGTTTTAATTGATTTGGTTATCCTTTTTCTTTTCTTTTCTTTCTTTTTTTTTTTCATTTTTTGCATTATTTATAATGGCCTTTCAGATATCAAGAAGAAAAGAAAACACCCACCCACCCACCCACCCAATTATTTTCTTTCACCATCAGTGATCCCATGGCCAGGGGGGTAAGAAGAAGAGGGAAAAACAGAAAGAAAAGGGAAGACAAAAATATTGGGGAATGACACACAAGGAAAGAGAATGACCATCTTTGTCTTTTCAGAAGCTGGAAGAGATGGAGTGGGCAGCTCCAATATAACTTTGCAGCCTCTTTCCAATAATCTCCCTGTGTCAAAGTGAACTAGAGGTGAATTCCTCAAAAGTGCAAATTAACTTCTTAATACAGTTTTGATTTAGCAGACACCAGTCTTGGAAACTACTAAAAGGTCATATTGTGTCACTTTCTTCACTGCAGTGTATTGTATATAGTATAGTACATTGTCCTGCTCAAGCAAAATTGCAGATTAAACCTTGGTTCAAGGGCACAGTGTCCTTGTTTCTCTGTAATGTCTGCTGTTTCCATGTGTTTCCATTCTTGGAAATGCATGTCTAACTCCTGCAACCCAAACATGTATCCATGCTGCACTTGTGGTACAAATATAGGCTCATGAGGTTCTGTGTAGTCTTTGCTGCTTGTTTGGGCCCTGCATCCCTTCTGCTGGTGTGGCAGGTCTCACAGGATGGCTCAGAGCAGTGTACTGTGAACTTGCACAGAGTTCAGCAACTTTTTCTCTCCTTCTGTGGAAAGAAATGCTTGGACCTGTGCCCTTGTGAAGCTCACCTGTGAGCCTACCTGCTCCATCTGATGTGGGTGCCAGAAAATGCAGGCAGGAGATTGTTTCCAGGAAGTCAATGCTGTCTTTGTAGAAAACAATTTCCACTTAGTTGATGGAGCACATTTTACGCGTCCTGGCAGTGGCTGACAGGGATGTAGAGACCTTAGTGATGTTCCCCAGCAACAGGAACTGTTCCAGCCTTCCTCATTTTTCACTGTGAGAACATCAGAGGTTTGGAACACACCAGCTCCCCCTCCCCTGCAATGTCACTGCTGCAGTACATTACTTTTTCTGTCTTGTGCTGTTCATATTTACCAGCACTTAGAGCAATTGGCCGTCTGTGTTCCCTGACCCCCTCTGGGGAAGAAAGCCAATGCCATTTGCATCTTCTGTCCTTGCCAGCACATTTGCAAGCCCCATCCATCACTCAGAGGTGCGGGAAGCAAAACTGGTAGCAGCTCATCTCTGCAGGTTACAAGACAGCAGTGCTCTCTGGAAGAAGCAGCACTCGCATATAAGAGCAATTAGATACTACAGCTTCTTGCTTCTTGTCATTCTTGCTGTTTGCTATTAATGGAGAGTTTTGCTCCATCAATGTATATTGTGTACATCAACAGTGAGATTGGGGCCGTTTCCTCCCCTGGAGCTGGAAAGGCATCAGTGCAGTGGGGCTGGCAATAGCCTATTGCTCAGTCCTTCCCTGGCTCTCTCTTCCAGCCACAACAGAGCCCAAGAGATTGTATTTCTTGCTTTCCCAGGATCTTTCCTATGAATAACACTGTAACTTTCTTGCTGCACCCTGTTTTTAATGCTCTTCACTCACCTTTCTTTAAGGCTTGGAAATCTCTGGGCTGTAGCTTTCGGTAGCACTCTGTCTTTTGTCACTGAACCTGTAAAAATGATCTCTGAAAATAATTCTTGGGTGTGGCCTGGGTGATCTGCTTTCCTGGTGCCTTATTCCGTTAAAAAAATTAATTGTATTTGTAAAATGCCTCTTACTTCAAGGTAGGTTAGTTTGTTGCTGTCACAGAAGTACCTGGGCAAGAGTCCTGTGGCCAGCCAGGATACTCACTGCCATCTAGGGAGCCTGCTTCTGTCTCACTCCACAGCTGCACATGCTGTATCCACCTCCCCAGTTGACCCCTGTACTTGTCCTGCCCACCAGCAGACCCACAGTGGTGCCTCCCGGCCTGTTTGCTTGCTGCCAGTTCACAGGGAGACACATCTGAGGTCTGAGAGCAGATCTACCTTTTCCACTTTTTTTTGTTTTTTTAGTTTGGCGTGATTCAGAGTGCATTAAGACCAAGAAAGCGAGCACCTGGGAGAAGAGAAGCCCTAACATCATACGGAAGTGTCTCTGCTGAGGATCTCTGAGTCAAGTGGGCACCGTCTGCATAGGCAGGTCTTCTATCTGCTGTGCAGACCCTCCAGTCCAGGTAAGGATTAGATGCTGCCTGGGAGCTTGTGCCTGGATAACATGTGCTGAATGGGTACCTGCATGGGGGTAGCATCACGGGATGGCTTGGGCTGGACGGGGCCTTCAAAGATTATCTAGTCCAAGTCCCCTGCTGTAGGCAGGACACCTTCCACAAGGCCAGGTTGTTTAGAGCTCCGTCCAACCTGGCAGTGAACCCTGCTAGGGGTGCAGCATCCACAGCTTCTCTGGGCAACCTGTCCCAGTGCCTCAGCACCCTCAAAGAATTTCTTCCTTATAACCCTAATCCTAAACATACTCTCCATCAGCTTATAATTGCTGTTCTTCCTTCTTTCTGTACAGGCCCTGGTAAAATGTCTCTGTCTTTCTCATAAGCCCCCTTTATGCACTGAAAGGTGAGGTATCTGCTGGGTATGAGAAATTGGGAGCTCTAGACATCAGAAACAGCATTACCTGCTACAAAGCTGATAACCAACTAAAACTAATGTCAAACAACCAAGTGGGAGCAACCCACGGGATGATTAAGTGAAAGCCCTGTACATTTCTGCCTGAGCCTCACCACCACTCCAGCCTTGCTGTTGCAGCAGATGTTGGAGCCCTGCACACGTGCCAGGCAATCTCTGTGAGCATCCAGCCGCTCCACGCCCTTGCCTCGCACTGTACAATCCCCCTCGTGGATAATGATGGATGGAAGTGACCCGTGTAATGAGTAATTGGCTCAGAGCACGGCACTGGCCGCAATTTACAAGTTCATCTGTACGTGATGTTATGCTGCACGGCTCCCTAA